TGACCACGATTGGTGTTATACTGTCTCTAGACTAAAGATAGTAACATCGTGGTTCGCATTTGCAACATATTAGTTATCTATAAAGTATATATTATTTATATTAAATATATACATAATAGAAACCTATAAAAAGTGTCGATGTGTCCACGACTGTATGTACATACATACGATCATAATATATGTTTCTTAAGGTATTAGCGCTGATCAAATTAGAACATGTAACATCGGCGTGCCGAGAGAGATAGGCACACGTGTATGGTTTCTTTCTCGTCATTGGTCATCGTATATGTATACAATTTTATCGTGATTCAGGGGTTTTATCCGTTTTATTATTTTTCTCGTTCGGCATGGATCGACGATGTTTCGCAGTTCGCCGACGAGGAAAAAAAAAAACAGACCAGACCGGAAACGATCGGCCGGGGACTTTCGTGCAACGTGGGCGAAGATGCACGCAACACGCAAGCGCCCGGCACTCCCCCAGGCTCGGACGCGGAACGTCGTCGGCCCGCTGCAGAGTGCAGGTCGCTCGGATATAGTCGGATTCGGCGGCGCACAGTTCAGTCGAAACGTGTAACCCCCTCGGGTCGGTTTATCGGCGGGCGAAGCCACGGCGCGTGAACGCTCGTCAACGCGCGACTGCGTCGTCGGATTTTCTCGGCCGGAATAATAAAGGTAGTGTCTCGGTGTCCGTGCTATACGCATTTACGTGTGCGCCGCTACACGTCCACAGCTGCTGATCGGGGGCCACGGACGAGCGACGGGTGGGCCCGTGGCGTTGAAACGAGGTAAATAACACACATCCGCATCGCGGGCATTCGGGTGACGGCCGATTATCGATTGCGACTATTTCCAGAAAGGACGACGGGATGACGCATCGTCGAACTGACGATGTATTTACCTCGCGCGCGCGGCGACCCTCGGATCGCGTTCCTTCCGGGGCCTCGATCTTCTCTCGCGAGTTCCGCGCGCGTGCCGTAGCTTAATTCGCGACGTCGCGTGCGATCGCCGCGGACTCGAGGAGGAAACACACAACCGGGCGCTATAATCATCGGATAGATTACCGCGGCTTGATTATACGCGCGACCTTCGGCCGTCGCGAAAAATCGATCTAGAGTCTAGACGGCGTAGCGCCGCTACGTCGATTCGAAACGTTCGAATCTTAAGACTGACATTCTCTTATTTTTTTTTATTATTATTTTTTAAATAACACTCGGTATAGTCGTCGCGTCCATTTCATCGCGTATCGGTGTCCTGTCGCGACGAATATGACGCTATATATACGCACACGCGCGCGAACTCGCTCCTCACTCGGTTGTACACAGCGCTGCGTGCAGAAATTTCGCCCGAGGTGCATCTGGAATAATCTAGATATATCATTTTATCCTCGTTTAACATTCGAATAACAAGGATAAAATGTGTACCGTGTGACTTCCTGAACGCAGCCCAGATTTTAAGTCCGTGTTTCGCGTGTGTGCGTGCGTGCGCGCGCGCACACGTACGCGTAGATTTTTTTCCGAGAAAACTGACACATATAGATAATTGCCAAACGGCAAACACGATAAACTCGATTATCGCGACAAGACATCTCGTGTGCTATCTAGGAACAGCGTTTAGTTCTAAGTTTTATCGGCGTAGAGAGAGGAGAGGAATACGCCCTGCGCGAGTACCTATTCGGTAATTTAAACAATTCATTTCGCTTCGCGACTAATATTGCGTGTTTCGTGACTAATTTTCGTAGTCTCGAAATCTCTGCTTGCGTCATTGTCGTAAACATCAAGCTGCTGCTTGCTGCAAAGTGCAACATTCGAAGTGATAAAAATACTAGCTTATCAAATGTCTAATATGCAGTGTACATGAATCCTTTTCTTCTTATAGGCGGACAGTTTGATACAAGTGTGTTAATATTCATGCATATTAACTAACCTGTACGTGATAATTTGATGTGTTTTCGCCTTCATTTACTAATATTACTACCAATCGTCGCAATTAGATAGATAACATGCTTAAAATTAATTGGCGAATATTCTTTGTTCAATTGATGATTGTTCATTGATTGCCAAATCTTTCGGTCTAACGAGCAATTAGTCGAATTCACATCATGTTCTTTATCTCTCTTCTTGATAAGAAAGATAAAATTATTCATTACTGGAAGATAATATATAAATACAGCTGCAAGATAATCTAGATTTTTTTATTACAGTTATATATGAGTCAGAGGTCCTATATTTACAATTAGTAGGACAAGTACATATTTTCTTTAGGTGTTTGTCCATGTGACTCCTTAAGCGAAAGTGTGGAACATTAACTTCTTTAATTCTGTGTAGCTTAACATTGTGCTTCTATATTTTTTATTCTTTATTGAGCACTTTTTGTGCAGCAAAAAAAAATAATAAAAAAATACGATATATAATTAAGAAATTGATAGATGTTAGATATTAGGTATGCAAATTATAATAAAAATCAGAAATGAGTGCGTAAGATTTTCTACTGAAACTGTCATGTGTTTATATTTATTATTGTTTTTATTATACTAATTTATTTGTCTTTTTTTTTTAATGAATTACAATTTAATAATAAAATACATGTTGACGCGTAAAACAAGTAAAGAATTTTATTTTTATAATTTTATATACATTTTTAAGGCCGTGGATGCAAATTTGTTTATTGGAGTTCCATTGATGAAGGAGGCCTAGTTGTAATAATAGGTTCTTTTTCAGCTAAAACAAAACCAAAAGATGACAACTTGGCAAGCACCTGGTGCGGGGTTCTATCCAGGGCAACAAGGTTCTGATCTTTTTCCTTCTGTTTTTTAATATATATTTTTATTACTATATTTCATTATTTTAACTGTGTTATATTCGGGATCCATGCCAAAGACCGTTCAGTCAGCAGTTAGTATAATCGATCACTTGCTTGGAAAGGATATATCATCCCACACATTAGAAAGCACACTGTTAATATAATGATTATTTCTGGTCGACAATATATTTCAGAATAAAGAAAAATTATTAGATAAATCCTGCAGTAACATACGCTAAAGTACTGATTGTTATCACTATGATTCTGCAGTTCTACATTCTACAGTTCATATATACTCATGCAATACATTGCAGCAGATTTATGTCAAATATAATTAGTGTCTTCAAGAAGCACACTAATCAACCAACTGCAAATACACATACACATACGCAACACAGTATTACTCATGGAAACTTGATCAAAAGTATAAAACATGCACTATGTATATTAAATGTAGTGGCTGCTGTTACTGCACAGAGTTCTTGAAGTTGTTACTGCTTATCGAGGTTACGTGCCCGTTGCACCGTAACGTCGGTTATTTATATCTCTAAATTTTTGACTGTGCAGGTCCATACCCGTATCCTCAACAGAATCCTGGGTACCCGCCACCACAGGAAGGCTATCCATATCCTCCACAAGCTCCAGGGTATCCACCGCCTTACTCCGGTGGAATTCCTCCAGGTAGAAATCAAGAATGTTATTCAAAATGCCTTCAATTATCGCGGTTATTTGTTCTGCTATTGATTATTACTTTTTTTTTTATAGGTCCAGGATTTATACCTCCACCAGGTGTTCCACCGTACGGTGAAGCACCACCGCCAGTTAATCCAGAATTCGGCGGAGGACATCCACAGGGTCCAGGCATGTACGGGTCCGGGTACGCGGAAGATCCCATGCACGATGAGGTCAAGGGATTTGAGTTCAGTGACAAAACTATCAGGAATGGCTTCATTAGGTAAAGATAGTCAGACCCTTAAAGATTAATGCTCACTTTGAAGTATGCGATGAACGTATACGTAACTATGTATTGTTTTTTTTTTTATAGGAAAGTGTATAGTATCTTGATGTGTCAGTTGGTCATCACACTTGGGATGATCACTCTGTTCCTTTATCATGAACCGTCACAGCAATGGATTAAGAATCACACAGAAATGTTTTGGGTTGCCTTCGCTGTAACTATCGTTCTGATCATATGCATGTCCTGCTGTACCAATGTGAGACGTAAAGCTCCGATGAACTTCGTCTTCTTGTTCTTATTTACATTCGCGGAGGCTTTCTTGCTGTCCATGGCTGCATCAGCGTACGACTCCAAGGAAGTAAGCTCGTCCCGTAATGGCTTTAATTTCGAATGTTATATAAACATGCGAAGAACTACGTTATTATTAAGTTTTATAGCATGTAACGAACGTATCTGAACATATCTACATAGAGATGCTTTTTGCAGGTCATGCTGGCCGTCGGAATTACAGCCGCGGTTTGCCTAGGACTGACGATATTCGCATTTCAGACAAAAATCGATTTCACCGGATTGCACAGCGTCTTGTTCGTCGCTGTGCTCATTTTACTTATTTTCGGTATAATCGCAATGATCTGGCACGGAAAGATTATGACTTTAGTTTATGCCGCGCTCGGTGCGCTAATATTCTCTCTATATCTGATCTACGATACGCAAATGATGATAGGCGGAAAACATAAATACTCGATCTCACCGGAGGAGTACATCTTTGCCGCGTTGAGTCTGTATCTGGATGTCATCAACATCTTCCTGTACATTTTAACCATTATCGGCGCTTCGCGAGACTAATTGATGTCAATTATATGATATTTTAACTTATGTTACAATTACAAAAAGGATACACAGTCAGTTTTTACTTACCGCCGTCCTGCTCTGGCTCTCCATAGTTATTGTCCTGAGAGCGCATTGTAGGCGAATAAACAATGAAGTTATGAAGAGGCATGATATTGGCATGATATTTAATTTCTACGAAGATAGCTTTTACAAATTTTCAAAGATTAATACTACACGAACAGCACGCTTGTATTCTCGAAGCCTTTTGTCTAGTTCCATAAGGCATAATACAACAAAGTATTTCCCATAATTTTGGGGAGAAAACCAAATATAAATTCTTGTAACTGCTAATGTGTAGAATAGTATATCATTATTACTATTATTACTATCATAAAAAAAACTCAATGTTATTTTTTTGTCTGTATCATTTTGACTTTGTCACCAGAATTGTTTATTCTAAAAAGCTATAGTCAAGTTTACATACTTTATTTTTTTTTTTTACTTCTTTAAGAGACTTAGATTTTTTCAATGTGATCAATGAATGTATACATCTAATTAAAAGTATGTAAAATCAATTATTAATATATAATTGTTACGATAAATATATATATGTCATAGTGTGATAAAAAACCAGCATTAGTATGATATTTATAGTATGATTATCTCTGGACTTGACTATAATTCCAGGCAACCTTAAGAGACGCTTGTACCTTGTTGCCTGTATATACATACATATACATATATAGAAAGTTGAAATTGTGTTTATTCTTTGTTCAAATTTGAATAATAAAACATAATAAAACGCTTTACTTCTCTGGTATTTATGATCTTTTCTTCAATTCCAGTCAACATTGTAATGGTATGTTGATGTTCTTATTTGATAAACATGTTAAAATTCTTGTTCATGATAAGACAATTTCCGTGTGACGTTACGTAACGTGACAATTCTTCTTACGACATCGTGAACACTCGAGAGAAATAATTATATCATTTTATCTAGTGACAGCATCTCTAAAAAAATTTGAAATCTAATTTGAATTATATATATATATAGCACATGTTATCACTTCTAAAGCTTGCATTAAAAATCTACATATAATTGTTACTGATTCTGTTTATCTGCAGTGTTGCATCTACAAATATGCAGACTCATTCTCCAGGATGTATGTATACATGTGTGTTTGCGCGCGCACGGCGCGTGTGTATGTGTGTGCGTAAGAAATAAAAACGACAAATATTCGAAATTGCGAATATTTATATTTGTAGTAAATCGGCCGTACACAAAAAACGGTAGAAGCTTTTGGTTTTAAGTTCTCCCTAACTTAATTAACGTACAAATAAGCATGTGTGGTGCGATTATTTCACGTAGGAAAGCGTCCAATGTCCAAAAAGATTATCAAGATTAGAAGCCGACACACTCATACTCACACCACTCAATATGGTAACAAATTGCAGCCTCGTAACAAACAATACGTCCTAATTGTTTTTGTTCGTGCAACGATACGATGTTTTACATGACACATGAAGGTTCCATCAGTGAAATCTATGTCTTTAATTTCTCTTACCATCCGTATAAATTATGAGATTTTGTTTATATACCACACGTACAGTCGTAGATACACAATTACATATGCATAAAACTGCGCGCGCGTTATTTGCCATAAACTTATTAACATTTATATATAGGTGTGGAGTTAAAGAACCTAATTTTTTTAATATTGAATCGATCACGTAATTTTTCGTTAGCAATATCTTCGTTTCGATTGCAGCATAGAAAAATGTTTTCCTTTTCGTCAGAGCAAAAGTGAGATTGGATTATATCAGGCAGTGTCCGTGAAGTGTTTATGTTATTATGCTTTAAATTACGCTCTAAATCTATATCGAGGGATCTATCCCAGGTGGCACGAGCTGATATATCGTTCGTTATGCGCCGTTAAAATAAATAATATATAAAATTAGCAGCACCGATTCGAACTTCTCTCTACCCTTCGATCGACTGTCACTCTGTCAGGCGCATCTTGAGGTTCCTTTCCGTGAGTTTTGTCCAGTATTGCTTCTGCTAGCTCGCTAAATGCACGGTCGATATTGATGTTCGCTTTCGCGGATGTCTCCATAAATCTAATGCCATGTTCTCTCGCTATCTATAAACAAGAAACAAATTCTGATTAAAAACACCACTGTTTTCGTGAAGAAAAAAAAAGGTTTTATCACACATTGCTCGTAATATACTAAAAAATGATATCTATGGAATATTTACCGCCTCTCCCTTCTCCGTACTGACAACGCGTTTCTCCTCCATATCACTCTTATTTCCTAATATCATTTTCTCCACGTCTTCATTTGCATGCTGCAACAAGTAATTATGGTTATTATTATTAGTGCTTGGGTTTTAAGAACTCTATAAATGAATTTGTAAATTTTTGTGAATGGCGTAAACTAAACTTACTTCGTCGATATTCCTCAACCACTTCACAATATTTTCAAATGTCTTTTCGTTAGTAATATCATAAACAAGCATAATCCCCATAGCCCCTCTGTAATACGATGTTGTAATAGTGTGAAATCTCTCTTGCCCGGCTGTGTCCCTGTACGCAGATAAAGAACACATAAGTACATCGAAAATTTTTAACGTAGACGTAACAACTCACCATATCTGTAGTTTGATTTTCTTTCCTCTTAATTCCACTGTCTTGATTTTAAAATCGATACCTATGGGGGAAAAAAAACATATTTTTATGTTCCATTTAACATAAAGGATAAAATATTGTCGAATTTCGAGAAACTCTAGGTATATACGTATTTCACAGCCAATTATTATCACTATAGTAATGAAAATTAATTAAGAAAAATATGTACTTTAAACATATTAATAATGAAAAGTATACTTTATATTTTTTATTTTCAAGTTATCATTTATATATGCACAGAGAACAACTTGAACATTATGTAGTTATAAAATCACTTCTATCTCTTTCTTAAACTCATGCAATATGTGCTCGCGCGTGGCTGTATGACTCTGCTAAAATCTCGCGAAAGCAAAGTACAATTACTTTTTTTTCTCTCTCGAAGAAAAACATGCTGGTATATAATTACACCCTGCTCGCCACCGTGCGTATATGCGTGTGCACGCACACACCCTCGTGCACGCACGTGTGTGCCTCTCACGTATGCGGAAACGAGAGCGGCGATCGGCTCGATCGGATTTTAACGGAACGAGACGGCCGTGATAAATTCAACGTGAATGAAGCGCCACGCTTCTAACCTAATCGCCGGGACGAGAACGCGAGTCTTCGTCGTCATCGTCGTCGACGGAACGAAGGAGTCTCCGCGGATTTGCCTCTACCGGTCTTCTCGCGATCGCGTTTCCCACCTCCCTCTTTCTCCCTTTTTCTCTCACCTATCGTAGAGATGAACGTGGTGGAGAAGGCATCGTCCGAGAAGCGGAACAGTATGCAGGTCTTGCCGACGCCGGAGTCGCCGATGAGCAGCAGCTTGAACAGCAGATCGTACGTCTTCTTCGCCATTTCGCCGCCGAGGCTCTCCCGCGTCGCTGAGCGGAGTAGGCGCCGAGCTGGTGGAGGTAAACAGAGTAAAACGAGCACCGCGGGGCCTGCGGCGGAGTTGCGGCGTCGGCTCGCGGTGGTCGGCTGGTTGTCGCGATCAGCAGCGACGATGCTCCGCACATCGAATACGTTACGCACCGGTTATAGCCGCTCAAGGTCGAACGAGGGCGCGTCCCCCGACGAGCGAGCTGGCTGCGACGTACGTATATACGTGTGTAGACGTATCGTGCCGTATCATACGGGCGAACCGGTCGCGGAGAGGCGGCGGACTATTAAAAGACGGCGGCGCGACGTCACGCGACGCGACGGCGGAGTCGACACGACGCAGAAGCCATCGGGGGTAAAACGCGGGGTGACTTTCGACACGCTCTCTCTTTCTCTCTCTCTCTCTCTCTTTCTCTTTCTCCCTACGTGGCTATGGCGTGGTTGGCTACTTTGCTTGGTCGACCGACAACACAAAACGCAAGATCGTGCAGCGATCCAGTGTTACCGGCTGAATGAGTGCACTGCACAGTGCACGATTCACCGCGGCATCGCGCGGCGCGACGTCGGCGGCGAGCCGCGGCGACGGCGATCCGAACTGCAGCGGTATCCTTCCGACGGAATTCCTGCTTGGCCCGTTATCGCGAAGGGTCACTTATCTTCGCTGATCGTGCGTGTCGCAGATAAACAGGAAGGGGTGGGGTTTTTTTTCCCGTTATGGAATTTTACCTTGGTTTCGTCGTATTCTCGTGTGGATGTTGAATGTCACATCTTTTTGGAATAGGCTACATTTTGCAATGTTCGATAACGTAAATATATATATAGGTATAGTCACACGTTGAGTTACCGTGTGGATAAAAAAAAAATAATTTTTCTCGATCATTACGCAATTTATTCAGGATATCTCTGGCTTAAATATTTCATTCCGTGAAGCATATTTATGTCTATGATAAATCATATTTTTATTGGATTTATTTAAATATACTTGAGTACTTAAATTATTTGTATTTCAAGTATTATCAGAAACGTTTTTTTTTTAGACATTGCGTAAGCACTATGATAGTAATATCAGAAATAACCGAGATCCAGGAAATACTGAAATAATGATGATATCTCGTTTTTTCCAGTGGAGATTGAATTAATTTATGGCACATAAATTTGTATTTCTTGTATACGTTATACGTGTCTATATCGGCACGATACGATAAGAATCTCTAATTCTTAAATTTCCAATACATATCAAATTGCTTTTTACTACATTAAATAAATAATTATGCTGCAATTGTAACACGGAATCGTTAACGCTTGAATATATGAATTTATATACTGCACATATCGAATAATTCCATTAATTTTCGTTATGCCTTGATATGTACAACTTACATTAATAAGAGATTTACATAGACATATTATTATATAAAATACACGCATTTAATTAATTAATTTCATAATTTTATTTCATACAAAAAGAATATTAAAAACTCCGATTTCTTGTGCCTCCTTCTTTTATTTATATAATTTCAATGCAAGAAGGATTTCGTTAAAACATTCCTTCTTGTATTCTCATTAACGCCACAGCGTATATATAACAGACATAAATCCGTATATAATGTTACGGATATCGGCATAACGTAGATATGACGTTCGGTTATTTGATTCCCACGTTTCTTATCAGTTTCGCACACCAAACCGTCACGCGCGTCTCGCGCGTTCAGATGGCAAAGGCTGGCGCATATTTTTCTTGCAATATATGCAGCTACAATATTCGAAGCGTGCCTCGCGCGTTGGCCTCGCTGCTCTTTCGCAAACATATGTTACGCACACATGCCGAAGTAGCTAAATTGGCCCGCGTAGGCGGGAGCTTCCCTCGTTCTCCCCGTAACGCCGCTGCTTCTCATCCATGATGTATTTATTACAATCGCATGTCTACGGTATATACGCGTGCTTAAATACCGGAGATAAGGAGAGGCAAAGGAAAATTTTGTAGGAAAAAAAAGTACGAAAAGATGCAGCTATATATATTATGTCCAATTTCCTATGTTTTAGGAAGAAAAATAATCAGTACTTATAGATATCGAATCGACGTCTGTAGATATTGAATCGACATCTTATCAATCATTTTTCCCTTGGGTAAATTAGCTTAGAACTAGAAATTCTTACAATTTTTTTAGAACTTTTTCTTTTTTTTCTAAAACTCTAGAAAAAGATAGAAAGTAAATTAAACTGATATTAAAGTTAATCCGCATGTTGATTTAAGTGGACATAAATGAACTAACATAACTCATAGTGATTAATTGGATAGTCCTCTAAATAAATTAAGAAAGAGATTCAAGGAAAAATACTTTTCGGTATTTTTATATAATATTCTTTGAGTTAAGAATATTATATAAAAATACCGAAAAGTATTTTGAATATACCGAAAAGATTTTGAATTCTAAAAAAAAGATCTCGTAAATTTAGAATGTGTTAAGAATATTATAAAAATACTATAAAAGAATATTATAAAAAATCAATCCTACAATTACGCAATCTTATATAATATCATATACTTTATATTTATGTATTGTTAATAGCTATTGTTGTAAGTATGTGATATTATATAAGATTGCGTAATTGTAGGATTGATTTTTTATAATATTCTTTTATAGTATTTTTATAATATTCTTAACACATTCTAAATTTCCGAGATCTTTTTTTTAGAATTCAAAATCTAGATCTGATTTGCAACAATAGCTTAACAATATGTATATAAATATAAAGTATAATATGTGATATTATATAAGATTGCGTAATTGTAGGATTGATTTTGTGGAGTTGAACAGCTATGCGCCAAGCGCATATATGAATCAGAACATATGCTCCGATATGCTCCACCGTGAGGACCGTATTCGCATGCGCGCGATTTTTTGGTAACCACACTGCGCGTGACTGATGTTCCCAAAAATATCCACGCACGCGCAGATCTCAGCAACGCGCTCGGTTCTCTTCAGTCACGTACATACATATTTCACTTCGATAAATGGCTGCCGTTATGCCCCGTGATAAAGAAATAGGATTAAAGATAATAATACAAAAATTTCTATTTTACGTGATAAATCGCTTTCATAATTCGAAGGAATGGCATCTCAGCAATACGTTGAAATAAAAAAAGTAGTATTAATTCCGAAATAACTTTAACAATAATATGAGTAACAGAAGACGTAAAAATATGTGTGTGGGTTTCTAAGGCGCGTCCGGTGTTGTTTTTCGGCACGATACTGCCCGGGCAGTCACGGGGTCGTTCGTACGCACGCGCGCGCAAGCGGCGCGGCGGCGAGGAGGTGATCGAAGGGAATGGTGGGGTCTTTCCCACGGTTTGGGAACACTGACCGCGCGGCCCGCGTGTGCGACACTGCCGTGCGTCACCGCGTGCAGTGTATACGTATGTCCGGCGCGCAGCGTGACCTGCGTGGCGCTCACGTACGACGCAGTTGATTGCAGTTGATCGTCTGCAACACCGTGCACGTTGTCGGCCAGCCGCCAGCGGAGTACTGCACGAGGTCAGCGAAGTCGACGGAACCATGGCAGCTAAGATGCAGCCCCCGTTCGAGCCACCGAGCTCGGCGAGTTCCGAGAGGTACACGGCTCGAGGAGTGTCCCTTCTCTCTCTCTTTTACTCTATTTCGCAGAGCAGATTTTCTCCCGTCCGTCGAAAAATCGATGAATATTTTATCGTTAAATTCCTTTTTTTTTTCTCCAGCGACGACGGCGACGTGTGCCTGGACGATCGCAGCGAGATCTTTCTCGCCGACGAGTTGTGCGAGGATGCCGAGCACTACAGGCACTCCGACGTCGGCACGCCACAATCCCCGAGGCCACCGTCCACAGGTAAATAAACCCATTTATAGTCGACTTTCTCGTGGGGACTCCGGCCTGATATGAGAAACGAAGAGATTGCATACCTAAAAATCTTGAAGAGCAACTTCGTACTATAACAGGCAGATAAACCCTTTGTTACTATAAACAGGTAAATAAACCCATTTACTGTTGACTTTCCCGACTTTCTCGTAAGATCTCAGGCCTGATATAAAAAACAAAGAGATTGTATGCCTGAAAATCTCGAAGAACAACTTTGTACTATATGCACTAGAATGGCTAGACATTCTAATCTAACATGTGGTAGCAGTTTATTTTATTCATTGACGGAACCTGTTACTAGAACCTGTTAGTTGAAATCTGTTAATAGAAAAAGATAGAATTATCTTATAGCTACCTGATGACAATAAATTTCATATGTATACATGCGAATATGTAATATTTATTTGTATGGGAGTGATAATGGAATGATTTATAAGTGACGGTTTGGGTCAGTTTTATTCATTGATAATGAATCACTGTAAATAGATTATATCAGGAATAAATATCTTATCGGTGAATGAAGTAATTGTAATGAGATAAAATATGAGTTTATGAATAGAATATTTTATTTCCTTCAGCAAACATATAAAAGCTAGGAAGGGGAATAATATAAGTTTATGATTAATAAGTAATATACATAAATGCTGTATAGTTAATGTCATATTTGTCAAGTCCCACCCAGACGCGTTGTTTACAGAATCAATACTTCCATGATGTTGTACCTGTAAGAGAAGATCCAAACAGTCCATCGTCTTAAGTTCTTTAATGAGCTCCTAGAGGACAGTCAATACAAAATATATAGAAGGTTCTCCTTACCTTTAATCCTATTCCTATTCCTTTGATTAATTAAATCCTTTTATTACCAATCATAAAAATAAATTTAAAAAAAAATATATATATATATAAAGAATTATGTTGAGTGCCTAAGGCTATTATATGGAAATAGCAAAGGAAATTTTATTATATAATTATAACAGGTTCACAAAAGTCACCACGATCACGCAGGCAGCGCACTACCAGCATGTCACAGTCAAGTAAGAAGACGTCTGCAGAATCTATTCTCAGGAGCAAAACGCGAACGATCTATACAGCTGGTAGACCTCCTTGGTACAATTCAGCTGGTCAACAAGTAGAACCTTTTGTAATTGGTTAGTAGTATCTGCTGTTAATTTAATTACAATCGTTTTCAATTTACATCTTGTTAGATGCTTTAAATTTTCTATATGAAATAAATATAAATTTTTATTACTAATAAATATATTTGTGATAGGTATTTGTGGGGGAAGCGCCTCTGGGAAAACGACAGTGGCAACTAAAATCATTGAATCTCTAGACGTACCGTGGGTGACCCTTCTTAGTATGGATTCTTTTTATAAAGTACGTTAAATGCGCGTTATTCTAATCAATAATGTTTTAAAAATATCCTCTCGTACAGCTTAACACAAATTTGTCATTAGCATGATAGAAAATAATTCAGTAATGCTAAACATTATTAAATATTTATTTTACAGGTATTAAACGAGAAGCAGCACGAGATGGCTGCACACAACGAATATAACTTCGATCATCCTGACGCGTTTGATTTCGAGCTTCTCAAGACCACGTTGCAGCGTTTAAAGGAAGGACGCATGGTAGAAGTTCCTATTTATAATTTTGTAACGCATCGTAGAGAAAGTAGAACGGTGAGTTGACTGGTGGTTGCAGTTTTTACTTTTTAATGTGCAAGAAATTAAAGCGATAACGGTTTATACAATTTTTTTTCCTTCTTCGTTTGAAGAAAACCATGTATGGCGCCAACGTCATTATCTTCGAGGGAATACTTACTTTTTACAATGTCGACGTCTTGAAGGTAAATCACTAGAAAGATAAATTAATTTAAAAATTGAAAAAGATATCGAAAGAGACTAACCAAATAGATAAACGTTTCATCAAGCTGTGCGATATGAAAGTTTTCGTCGACACCGATGCGGACGTCAGGCTGGCCAGGCGTTTACGAAGGGATATCTCGCAAAGAGGCAGAGACCTGGAGGGTGTGTTAAAACAATACAGTAAACATGTGCAGCCGGCTTTTTATTACTACATAGCGCCCCTTATGGTCCATGCGGACATCATCGTGCCACGCGGAGGAGAGAACGAAGTGGCAATAGAGCTAATTGTACAACATGTTCATACGCAACTTCAATTGGTAAATTGCCAGCTTTTATTGTACACTTTAATGTAAAAATTATTATCGGTGCTCACGCTAACGATCTCTGTGCCGTTTTCAGAGAGGTTTCAAATTGAGAGAAAAGCTGGCGCACTCTTACATCGGTCAACCATTGCCTTCGTCTTTGTACTTACTCCCGGACACACCGCAAATAAAAGGTCTTCACACGTTCATACGAAATAAGGAGACCTATAGGGACGAATTTATTTTTTATTCTAAACGCTTGATTCGGCTAGTCATCGAATATGCGTTGTCGCTGCTGCCTTTTGAGGTAAATACAAATGTATCGTATGAATGTTCATTACTATTTACGAATGTTTATTTAGTCCATTTTATCATAGCCCTAAATGGGCCAAAACTTTTAAATTGATTTTATTATAATTGCAATTTTTATGAGTAAGAGTAGGGTAAGTTGTAGTTGCACCTTGCCTAAATTCTGGCACGTTGTAATATACCATTCTTACATGTAGGACGTAACTGTCGAAACACCGCAAGGAGTGTTGTACGGCGGCAAGCGAGGCGCAACGGACAAAATATGCGGCGTGTCGATATTGCGCGCCGGCGAGACTATGGAGCAGGCTGTTCGAGACGTGTGCAAAGATATACGCATAGGAAAAATTCTTATCCAGACCAATCAGCAGACCGGCGAGCCTGAAGTAAGCACTCGAAATTTTTTTCTCTTCACAAGTGTACTCTTAGTCGCAGAGCGATAATTCAATTAATTTCTTGTATCTAGCTGTATTATCTTCGATTACCAAAGGACATCAAAGACTATAGAGTAATACTGATGGACGCCACCGTTGCGACCGGTGCTGCTGCCATTATGGCGATCAGGGTGCTTCTGGATCATGACGTTGCGGAGGAAAATGTACTGTTGGCGTCGTTGCTGATGGCCGAATCGGGCGTGCATTCGATCGCCTACGCCTTTCCGCGAGTGAAGATCGTTACCTCCGCGCTGGATCCCGAAATAAACGAGAAGTTCTACGTACTGCCCGGTATCGGTAATTTCGGCGACAGGTACTTCGGCACTGAGCCATCTGACGATTAAGGTAATTTATAGATCTTTGTTTTAAAGTTCTTATATTCGCTACGTTGTGTAAATTGTGATACAAATGCAAATGTCAATAATCTATCGTATTTAGCAAAAATTGTACTTCAACATTTCTACATGCGCCTCGTCCTTATTACAGTTTCATTTCACTTGTGACATTTAAATTAAAACTTGCTATCGCATTGCTATTTTCGTACATGCGATGTTGGCTTTTCTTTAAATGTCAACTTATGCTCAAAGAGGCGTTGTGCCAACGCCACCGGTCTCCGCGATATCGGCGGCAGTGCCACGTAATTGTCTATAGCCACGTGCACTAGCTCGATGCGAGCGTCTCCACGAATCCAGGTTGTTGCCAGTGGGGTTGCTTGGCTGGCTCAGAAGATACGTTATTAAGCGGTCCAATGCGATCAAGTCTTCGCTTGTATTGCCAGAATTCGCTAAGCCTTTGTGCGACTGTAGATCCCCACTTATTATTTCCTCGACGTTTCCACTGTTCTTTATGTTGCCTCTACCCGCAGTTCCGCGACCGTGAAGACCAAACCGAGAGCCAATCTATAATATATTTTTTTTTAACCATTAAAAGAAACTATTAAAGAAAAATATTAAAGAATACAGTAATAATTTAAATATTACGATTAATAATATATAAGTTATTATGAATATTATAAAATATTTAAATTGATGTGATATTAAGGTAATACCTCTTCCGGTCCGTGTTGCCCATAACTAAGCCTTTGTACTTTTCTGAAAGTTTCATCATCCATCGCTTCCCTGACCGCTTCGTTTAGCTTGCGTTCCAATGCTCGTTGCTTAGTTTTGCTCAATCCATCGTAGAAACTAATTCAAATAAACAGAAATCAATTCTAATTCAAATTCATTTTAATTAATGGGTTATCATATTTTTAATAGGGTTATCACATTTTTTTAAATTAATTATATTTTTACGTTATTATGATTCATATAGATGGAGTAAGATAAAGTGCATCGTCAGTTTTGATATTTATTCACTGTTATTTTTTTCTTACCTTGAACTCAAGGAACTGTTATCTCTAGAGATATTCTTATCGCGAACCAGTCGGATGTCGTGCTCCCAAAACCGGCGCAGTTCCGGCGTAGACGTATACGGTGCGGCCACTTCTTTAATCTGCGGTTGCGAGCGAATGATTACGGGCGAAAATAAAACTAACGTATAACGCGATAAGGGCGGATTATACGTATTATTTATCAAAATTGGCGCATTCGTCGTAATCGCGATGTAATTTGCCTCGATGGCGAAGTTGCAATTAACAATGCCACGTATATGTTGTGTGTCGGTGACGTAATAATACGGGATGCAAATTACAGCCGCAATTTGCAATTGTTCTCGGCCATTAACGAGCTATGTCGCGTGCTAACTTTAATTACCTTCAGGACTATTATCGCCGTAATAAAGATGCACATTACATTGATAAACGTCAGGCACGCACTGATAATGCCGTTGCAGAAGAATTCTACGGGCAAGTAATCGCTGTAGATGTACGTGTAGGTGCTATTAAAGTTTGTATAAGATTCCCCTTTGATATGGGGCATTTTTATTGGCCGATATATGAGCCATATGCATCCTAGAGCCCAAAATAAGCCCTGCGAAAAATAATGAATCTACAGTTTTGATCCAATTAATATAATTAATTATTGAAACAAAGAGAAAAAAAAATATCTTTACGCATATCTAATTATCATAAAGGGTTATACTTTTATACGATATCTGCACTATTGTTTTCTTACGCAATTTACAACTGGCGGTAATAATGAAGCTGATATAGCGACGCCAATTAACGGTCCATTGCTGCCTTGCAGCAAAGCGACCGCGACACCTGTGCCAGATGGAAGGGCCCAAAGAACACCCATCCAGAGAGATCTGTAGTTGCCTCTACGGAAAGAAATTATGTCATTTGAGATATCAAGTCAAGAAATTAAGTCATTGAGAATTAAGTCATTTTGAGATAAAATTTATAACTATATATGATTGAAAGCAGTAATTGCAATCTATATTGCGTTAACAGTAGCATGTCTGACATTCTAAATCTCATATTCACCTGCCCTTCATTTCGTCGGTTGGCCAGTCATTGTAACCCCAAGGCATTTCGGTTGTACCGAGGATGAGGCCGAATATGAAGCCGAAGAGTATCGATAAGAAGATACCGAGCATCAAGCTCTTGAAGCCGACCAGTTGCAGGTCTCTGTCGGCTATGATCGTCCCGAAAGTCAGAGACATCACAGGTCCCTTTGATCAACGACACGATCAGAAGTGTGAGATGACGCGCGAACATTGTTTGACGACTAGCAAAGTTGCATTTAAAGGGTTTTACCATGAGGGGAGAAACTAGCATGGCTGCAACAACATTAGTTGCACTGTTCTCGACGAGACCGAGTGCAGCGAGACAGCTGTAAGATCATAGTTTTCACAATGTTGATTGTTATTAATACAACTTATTTACTGCGGCGAAACATAGTAAAGTCTATGTTCTACGTTCAATATTCTACATTTTCTTTACGGTCACACCCGATATCGTGGTTTAGCATTAATGAAATGTGACGATGAAATAAAAACCACGAAATATGAATAAGAATTTTTTTGATAATTTTTAGAGGACTATTCTCGTCACGGACGAACTTACCGGAAGTCTGTCTTAATTATTTTTTAATCTAGAGATAAAGTTAATAGGGAGTAGCTTCGCTTCTTACTCCGCGGTTAATACCAGACACACGTAATCGAAACTAAGATCGCCGCCACTGCGAACGCCATCGACCACCTGTTTCACCGTCAATTTCGATCTGATAGATCCTACGAAATCCTCCCAAGCGTTTTTACGATCCTCCGATTCTTTCCGTCTGAATGGCAGAAAATTCATGTCAGATGATATCTCGGATAACGTATATATATCGGCTTTTATGCTAATCTCATTTGCGAAAGTCAATTAGGGAAACCTGCGGGCAACGTCGTCCTTGACAGCCAGCGGTCCTGCATCGTTCACACCGCTGTACGTACATTGCGTCGGGATTACGCTAAAAATAAAAAATCAATGGCCAAAGTCATGACTCCGAACGCATTGAAACGCTTCGTGCGACTTTTTTAGCGTAGCGTAAAATTATTTTTCGCACCTCACTATCGAGTTCATTTTAACGCCGATACCCATCTCGGTGAGGCAGTGTATGCAATTTTCGCAGGGATCGCCGGCGGGCACCGGAAATATCACCTTCCACCAGAAAGTTTCGTTTACGTTCATCGCTTGAAAATATATATAGATAAAAATCCGCAACTCTTACTATACCTCATAATACATATCCTCCTTGTCTTTGCACCACACGACGTGCTCTACTCTTAGCTTTTTGAGAAGCTCTTCTAACACCTACAAAAGTTAAGCAAATTATGATTTAATACGTATATAAATGTGTATCGATCTAAAATCAAATTGGAGAAATATTCGTGAAAAGGAACCTCATTTTTTGAAAACAAATTTTTAAAAAACTTAAAGAAAAAATTAAAGTTGAAGAAAAACATGAACATATATTATTTTTACAACATGTATATTGTATGTCTTGCAAGCACATAATTTTAATAATTAATTATCTTTCACGTCTCTTCGTACTATAGTCTATGTCTTATCTTATGTCTGCATCTTTAAATGTCTTTTATTATACCTTACCGTTTCCATCGACACAAAAACCGGTGTTTTCGATCGCGCGGGAAATCCGTGAACACGTTTCCTAGAATCAATGCCGACATCGACGCCGACGTCGTCATCGTCATCGTCACCGTGACCTTCATCGTCGAGCGTGAGCAATTGCGCGCGGGTTTTCGCTTCCTTTATACGAAGATCCACCTTCGGCGTCGCGAGCCTGTTCTTGCTCCTCTCAATTCTCTTCGAGCGCTTCAGCGGCACGCCGAACACAAGTTCGTGCTCGTAGCTCAAAGTGGGAATGCAGACCAGGAATACGACACCCCCGGGCATGTTTGTTCCGCGATTCGACAACTTTATTGCACGAAAATCACTCGCGCGATCTACCTCGTGCGATCGCCAAGGCTATTCTGCCTCGGTTTCGCCGAGCGATCCTCAGATCGAAGGTGCAATTCATTCATCAGCTAACGATAATCACTTTATTGTCTGGCTCATAATTGTTCTGCGAGTAAAGATGATTTCACGACGACTGCTTTCAGACGGTCGTGACATTAGGAATCTTCGAGATCCGGCTGGAAATATTCTTGCTTGGAAATAATATTAAATAATTCAAGGAATCGTATGTAATTACAGAGACATTTAGAATTTTTGTAATTCTTATAATTTTTCTTTACAAGAAGGAAGATGTTAAAGCGAAGAAAAACGAGAAAGTTGATAACAATTTGGAAACATCCTTCCTCCAGTCGATTCTTCGGCAGTCAAGTGTCATTGTTGGTGAGAATGTAGAGCTATATTTAAGGAATTGGCAGATAAAAGAGGTAAGAGGCTACGCGTGAAATAAAAATGTCAAGTGTAATAGTGCTTTAAGAAATAAACATTTATTTCCTTTTTAACAAATCAACAGCGTAGAGACTAGCGTCTAGAGACTAGTCCGACGTTTTTGTTTATCCGGTCTAAGTAACTAAAGGCCGCGAGGAATATTCCATACGAGGGGAACTTCCAAATCCGTGCGAAATCATTTTTATTTATCGTCGCTGAAAACGTTCCCGTTGTGTTTTTCTCTCTGACTTTTTTTTTCTTTAATTAAGCGAACTTATACCCTGTCACCCTTATGTATGTAGATATACAAAAGTGGTTCGGTATCAGAGATCGCGTAACACGCTAAAATTAAGTACTCCGCGCAATACGATGCATTTTATAAGGAAGTATAAAAATCGCAGGGTCCCCAAGAGCCATGAGGTATAATTGTCACAAGTCAAATGTCAAGAGTCTATTGAAAGCCTAAGCTAATTAATGGCATTAATAAAAATTGATGCTAATCGTTTATGAGTGAGACGCGAAAATAAGTACAGGAGGCAATTTCTACAATGTGCATAATCGAAGCGTTCGGGACGGTCGATGACAAGGTTCCCACTATTTGAGGCGATCCCGTTTCATATAACTGCATTCCGTTCTCGCGACATTCGTGTTTTGTTCAATCGAAATAAGTCTTCGACTATCAAAAAGACAAAGTTCCCCTCGAAACTAGCAAGAGCTCGACGCTTCCGCTTTCCGCCGTGCGCCGAGCGATGGCTATAATTGTATTATTAATTATTAGTAGTAGAACTAGTATAATCATACTAGCGATAGTAACAAGTGTAACAATAATAACTATAGAATGCCGAATGGTCTATAGTGGTCGCGCTCTCCGCCTCTTTTTCTCTTTCTGTCTCTCTTCTTTCTCTCCCCGCCGACGAAATAATTCTAAATAACAAAAATAGTGAGGATGAGGATGCTGCTGAAGATGACAAACGATGAGGATGCCGACAATTTTCTAGCGTATCTTTCTCTAAGAAAAAAACCGTATGTACATGCTTCTGGCGGCTTTTCGCTAAATATTGACCAAGCGGTGCCGTGGCCGCGCGATATCAACAATGTATTATCATACACCAGGCACCGTGTTACTCACGAGTATCCGCTTGCCGGAAAGTTTTCTTTTTTTTTTTTTTGTTTTGTTTTATTTAAGGCCATACTCGAAGGGAGAGCGTCGCGTCTCTCTGTACGCATCTCTCTCTCTTTCTCTCTCTCTCTCTCTCTCTCTCTCGTCAGGTTTCTACACAAATTGGTAGCTGAACCGGTCGACTGAAATCGTCGCGCAACCGTTCGCTTGACAAGGAGTTCTCCTAAATTCAGCTGGGGATGCGTCGCTACGGGATGTCATCTACGTTTAACTGCGACGTGCTGCGTTGCATGCATGTGCGTGCGGTACATGCGTCAGAAACCACGGTATAACGGGACTACTAACGATATAACGCACCTAAATGTTGGACTAACGTCGTCCGCGAAGCTGCGGCCAGACTCTATCGACTCAGAGAGCAAAGCGTAGATTTGATCGAATGATTAGAGAGTGCATAACTCTCGATCATCCGACGGGATCATCCTTCATTATTTCCAAAAACGTATGGCAGATATATGAATTATATACCATTAGTACATCTATAATTGACAGTTTGATGAGTGAAATGAGTGTTCTTCAAAATCTCATTAGGAAGAATGAAAATATATTTCCTATCAAGCGACGATGGAGGTAAAAATTGTCGAAGATAAAAATGGAGATAAAAATATACTTTCTCTATAGAAAATAATTACATAAAATACTTCGGAGGTAATGTGAATCAATTATTTTGTAGGAAATTAGATTTTTTTTTTATCGAAAATGACTGTGTGTGTAGCGTGAGTTTCTCGCATTATCCTACTGGCAGAATTATTTTCAGAATTTATATATAGTAAATTGTGGCAGCGACTTAAGTGTTTAATCCGACTTGGCGCGTAACTTTCCACTAACTAAGTCGATCAGTCTGACCGTAAGCTAATCGCGAAGTTACACAGCAGCGATGATCACCGTTCGATTCCAACCCCGAGAGAAGGTACTCGTGGTAAATCTTGGGACAAGCTGGCGGCTGCGCATTTTTTGCGGCGCCGCCGCACGACTCGATTTTTTACAACACTTTTATCGATAGCACCGACAATTTTGCGCCGATGATGACGATGACGACGACGACGTACAAGTCGTCAACGTCCAAGCACTTTTACAGTCCTTAAGGCCACAATTCCAAGACGTCTTAGAGACGGATTTAGAAATAAGCCCTTGCAAGCGCCTTCACTCCTCGCGAATGCGTTCACGCGGCGTGCAGAAAAAAATAACAGTGAAATTCGTCAAATCTCAACCTCGTATACGTTGTTTCGTTCCGTTTTTCTTCCGAATTCGGCGAGCGATCTCGCGAATACCGAATTTGAATAAGAAGAATCGTTTACTGCAAACCAGATTCACCAACTTTGTCGCGTTAACATGCGGAAAAACTTGTCATCGTTAACTTTCCAAAAGAACATCTTTCCTTCTCTCCTCGCGCAATCTTCTTCCAATTAGCGAAAATTCTCGCGTCGTCCTAAATAATTTCCCGCTCGTACAAAAAAAAATTCAGTCGAAAGCTTCGATGCATTTTTCGCAATCTCTCTTTCCACAGTCGTCTCTCCTGGAATATTCTATTCATCACAACTTTCCGCTCGTCTTGTTACGCGCGCTCGTGGAGCGCGTGGACAAGATTCAGGCCAAAATTCAGGTTCGCGAGATGCCTCATCCTGAAGGCGGCTCGTCAAGGGCAGGTATTCTCATACGGGGGCACTCGGCCGTCGCAGGAGCGAGGTGAGCAACGAGTGTCGCTGTGGTCGCCGGAAGGGCCGACGTCGTCGGCGCTCGATGTCCGCGTAGGAGACGGACGATCGCTCCTCGGCGACGGTCCCCAAGGGTCAAGCCCTCCGCTCCTCCTCGTCCTCCACGTCCTCCGACGATTCCGACGTGGAGGAAGTGATCAGGGCGGTCGACAGGCTCGGTAACTGGGCGGGCGAGCAGGAGGCGAGGGAGTTAAGGCGTACTCTCTGGACATTCCAGCAATCCGGCAAGGAGTGAGACCCGTCGTCCGCCTTGTCCACCGAGTGAGCTCGGTCGGCGAAGCCGAGCTCCATCATTGACACCCTCCTCATGGGCACCCTCCTCGGGTTGCCTGGAAAGAAAAAAATCAAAGGTTCCGTCTCAGATTCAAGAAAACTGCGATTTGCGAGCAATGCCTTGGCCGATTATCGGTATCGCTTAATTTCTGAAATGTATTATAAAGATATTTAACATAATTAGCTTCGGTAAAAACATTCTTTTTGTTCTCAGATATTTGTTCTTTTTTCGCTTGTAAGATCAATGTTTTAAAAATTGATTTACCCAAGAATTTTAGTATACGCATATATTGATAAGTGAAATGGGATAATAAAATTGATATACATGACAGACTTAACATCTCAAAACTCAATAGACATTAAATATATTAGAGAACACTCCGATCACTCTGCCGCGGCGTTATCGCAAATATTACAGTGAACACCAATGTCTTAATGATAAAAAGTATAAGAAATAAGAAGTGATTAGCACAACGATAAATAATAAATAATAAATGAGTAAAAAATTGGAAAAATTTATCTTTTCAATTACTTTTGCTGCATAACAACATTGAAAAATAAAATAAAAGCTGTATGGGTTTATAACAAAGGAATTCTAGGTTCCTAGAACAGAGATCGTATATTTGCGCATGCAACCCATTCTCGAAACAATATTTCTTCCGTAGCGAAACGACGGTTAGCGCGTTGTGGGCACTCGCGTGTCGATGCTCATTTTGCAATTGCTCGCAAAAATAGCCGCGGACGTGCAACGCAACGTGAGTGACGCCCGTCACAACGCATTAAAAAAATAGCATACGTCAGTGCTTCTCAACGTTTTGCGTCTTTCTTCGCGTGTCACTTTGAACATGTTTCTCGCTTACTAATTTATTTTATAATTGTCACACGTCGTCGAATCATTTGAGATATTGTTCGAAAACTTCGAAAACACATGCGACTTTTCTGTACGTTGACGGAATGTCTCGCTGAGTACTTGAGAAGTACTTCCCCCGGCGTGCGTTAATTGGAAACGTTGAGAGGGAGAGTATGTAGAATGGAAATTGATTTAATCTCCAGTGCGGTGAGAAAAGAAAGAAGTAGGGGAGGGGGGGGGGGGAGAAAAGGAAAAACCAAAAATAAAAATGAACCACACGTACCCTCCTTCTGCTTTGCGTCACGTACCCTTGGTTTTCGCGGGGGAATCCATTCTCGCGGGGGTGTACTCGTCCGTCTCGTCGGCCTCGTCGACGGTCTCCTGGCAATCGATACTGTCGGGCGTGCACACGCTCTCGCGTCGAAATAGGCCAATCACGGATTGGACTTTCGGCTGTTCGATCCCACCTGAAAAGCGGAAAGACATAACGGGCATGTGGGAGCACCGCTGGGAATAAATAGACAGTGAGCGATTTCAGCGTGCTGAAAAGTTTTCAGGGAGTTGTTAATCTTCTTAAAGGAAAACTGACTTTACAGCTGTCGCGTGACGGTCTATCGGTTTTTTTCATACTCGGTTACTCTTTTATGAAAAAAATCGACGAAACTTTGGTAGTAGATTAATATTTGACAGCCAAACTCTCTGATTCGTTTTCCTTTTTTTTTCTTCTTTTTTTTTCTTTACCTAAGAAAGTGGCGGAGGGCGAACTGTAGGCGAGGTATTCTTTGTTGGAGCACCAGGCTGGAAATTCGTGCTGCTTGATCGGATGACCCGACTCGTAATCGTCCTCACGTTTCCACGGTAACATGGTTTCCGTGGCCGTAGGGGTGGTTACTCTGTAGCCTTCCGCGCCTAGGTCAAATACCGCAAGATGATAGCAACAGGAGAATTACGGAAATAGAAATTGAAACCGTTATGATTTCGGCGGGTGCCGTAAACACGAAAAGCCACCGAAATTATATCGATGTCAAACCCTGGCGAAAATAAACGAACGAAAAATAGTGGCCAGCAATATATAAAGAAAAAAGACGCAAAGAGAGGCGAAATGGTTCACAATAATGCAAGATTAACGCCTGGTGCTTCAATAATGCTGAACAATATTAAAAAAAAAATACGCAGAAGAAAAAAACGGATTCGCAATAACGTAAAGCCAACGCTCGAGCTCTTTCTTTTTCTCATTGCGAAAACGTACCGTCGCGTCCTATTTTCAAGTCTCCTTCGTCCGTATTTATTGTGTCCATCGACGTAGTAGCGGTGGTAGCGTGTTGATTGTCCGCGTTTACATTCGGCGAATCTTTCGTTTAAAGATTTTAAATTCTATTAGTCGATGACTTTTTTTTTTCAAGAAGACGATTAAACAGCTATATGTACACAAATTGTGAAAGATGTATAATTTTCGCTGTAAAAAAAAAATAACGAGATATCCTGCTCGTTTTCTCATCGCCGCATTCGCATATTTTTAACTTTCGATCTCGTTTTTCAATTCAATTCGATTTTAGCAAGTTAACGAAAAGTTTTCTTACCGGATGTTCGTGCGGTGAACGTGATCGCCGAATCCCAATCCTCCTTGCTGGAGGGCTTCGAGGTTTCTCCGTTCTCTAACTCGTACAGCACGCCATTGATGTAATCTGTGCACGATAATTCGTGAAAAAAAAGAAAACAAGGGGGGGGGGAAATTACGAAACCTCGAGGTACAATTAATTATCCGCGTTGTTTTTGCACATACCTTGCGTAAATAACTTCGTCGAGCCGTTCTGCTGTTGAAACTCTGGGAAACTAACGTGATTCTGTTTGCCGTCCTACATAGAATCGAAATCGATAAATGTAAAGTGAGAGACCGAAATTAAATTATGACAAACGATCGAGACGCCGATCGATCCTTACTTTGACCAACTTTTTGCTGCGTTTGTGGCGATGCTTGTGCTCCCCCATCATCCGTCGAATATTCATGTGCATTCTGTAATTGACTTGTGTCGAGAGATCGCGATCGTTCACTGCGTGTCGACTGTAGCTCAAACGCCGATGCTGTATGATTAACATAATGCTTGTACAAAATTCTCTCGCAACATGTTTTTTGTTATAATAGAATATTTCGCTAATATATGTATATATATATATATATATACATATATATATAATATATATATATATATATATAATATTTTTTTTATCACAGTTTCTTTGACGAATTTAAAGTAAATCTTTTTGGCAAAGAGATACTGAAATATCGAGTTAAAAATGGAAAAATTTTAGTAAATTTTCATTAGAAATAAATAACAAAATTTCAAAAATATTAGGATATTTCGGTGAAAAATAAAAAGTTGCAAGAAATTGCTATTTCTGCCCGAGATAAATTGATTTCAAAATTTGTCAGAGAACACGGCTAAAAAATTTGATAGTAGAAGGATTATTACTTTATTACATGTAATATATTATGTGATAGGTCATATATCACGAGCGGACTCTGAATTTGAAGAAAATCTAGACTCGGCCGTAATCTCTTACCCTTTTGTACGGTTTACAAAGCTCTTCGGCGAGCAGATGGTGAATTCTCGCGTCCGTCAGGTCTTTTTTGGAAGGATTGTACTCCAGTTCCTGCAGATCGATATTCCATCCCGTTTCGAGCTGGCTGCAGCTGGGACTGGAGAGAGAAAAAGAATGCTATTAGACTGCGCTTTTATTTTATACAACGACAATTGTCAGCGGCGAACAACGGGGGAATTCCGCACCTTCCATTGAATTGTCCGGTATTGCTGTAATTACGGAATATCGCCGACATACTTTCGGTGCCACTAATGTTGCCGATAGTGGAGGCATTCCTTCTTATGTAATCCAGCGCATCCTTCATCGCCAGCTTCGAGTAAGTTTCTAAAATCTTCGGCTCGGCGCCGCAATGATCTTTCACGAGATAAGGTCGGATGAATTTATTGTCGAATCGCTTGAATCTACAGCAAACCAAGTCAGACAATATTTTTATCGGGGGAATGAGAGCGAGTAAAGTGAATGACACAGAAAAAAATATTCCGATAATTAGACCATAAAAGTAATCTATCTACATTCTATGTCATATTCGATACTTTCTTAATAGAAAATATACTTCCGTTTGGATATATGGACGATACAGATTAGAAGACATAAGTCCTTTAATATGATCTTGCTTCTGCTTATTGTTTTACGTTGATAATTCATACAAATCGCGAGATTCCAAGAGTCTGATTGATTTCGCAGACATCGCCGAGTTGAATAAACACAAAGTTATGGCTAAGCGTCTTACTTATCCCGGACGTGGTAGTTGCCGTGTTTTCCCAAAATGTCCTCGATACCCGCCATTGTATGATCCATTATCTACGAATTAAGAGACAGACGTTATTTATCTTTCAATTCGACGAGCACAACGCAGGCGGATCGCGGATCCGCCTACGGATTTGCTATATATACGTATATCGCGGGCAAACGCGAACGCAAGCAGAATGATGTATCAAAGTCCCGGTAAAAATTGCCGCTATATACACATTCTATAATGCGGCTTGACAATGACGAACGTTATCCTATTTCACAATTCGACCCTATTCTTCATATCGGTCGTATACGGCTCTGTCGTTCCATTAAAGAGAAATACGTCGTAACCCGGGGATTCGCCGGGGTAATAGCAGGCTCCGTTATCGTCATAGCGGCGATAACGATCGAACGATTCTTATCGAATTTTTATAACGTCTGTACGATGGTCTCGCGATCGCTCTGTTTCTCGCGATTTTGAAATTTACAGCGGACAACGAACGACTACCGTATAAAGCGGCTCGTCGCGCGGCAACGTACCCTCTCGTGAATCCTCTCGTTCATCGTCGGCTTCCTCTTCTCCGCCCTTTTGACATTGAGGATTTTGACGAGGGGTTTGATGGTGATCCCCTAAAAATAAGAGCGTGTTACACGTGAGCGAGTGTCATCGCGAGCGAACGTACTCGTTCCCGACGGGCGGCGGATTATCGGCCGCCGCAGCGGCGTCGCTCGTGCCGGAGAGAGGCAACAACGCGCGCGCGGAGCTGATAGAACGCTTGACGTAAAAGTGTATGCTCAAGTGTGTGCGACAGAGAGATATTAGGTTTCCGATCGATCGCGCGACAAAGCACACGTGCAGAGCCAAGCCTTTTTTTTGCAGCTGGCATCTTTGCTAATCGCTGCTCATTTAGTCGTCGATCAAACGGACGACCATCCGTGGGTGATCTAACGGCGATCACTTTCTCTCCTTTCTCTCCTCGCCGTTCTCTCGTTCCGATAAAATAATTAATATCGTCTCTCTCTCTCTCTCTCTCTCTCTCTCTCTCTCTCTCTCTCTCTCTCTACCTATCTCGCTCTCGGAAAGACGCGTGCCACCGTTGGCCGCGTCTCAAAATACGCGCGAGTCATCGGTTCCGTGAAAGACACCGCTGACTAGGTCGGTCCGATTTACTCGAGCAAGGTCTCTGCAATCTTGCACTTCGCAAAGGAACATGCGCGCAACACCCGCCGTTACGCAACACGGCACACGTGCCGTTCGTGTTTCGCATCGAATTCGTCATCGATCGATCGCGATCATGCATCGTATTACGTGATTATATGCGCGATCGCCGTGATCCTACCTGGATGAACACAGTGAAGTAGATAACGGCGATAGTGGTGGTGACGAACATGGGCTGCAGGGGCACGTGTCTGGGATCTATAAGAAGCACCAGGGCGAACGCCACGGCGCCGCGCAAACCGCCGTAGGACATCACGAATTTCTCAACCTTATCCAATTTGTGCAGCCGGAACTGATTCGCCAGCGCTGTCAGCACTATCACGCCTGGAAACACGAATTCAAGCGTGATGTTGCAGCTGTAATATTCCCTTTAAAAAACGCGCAGCTTGATACAGTTACAGCTCGTGATATAAGTCGAAAGGAATTTTCTAAGAATACGCATTGTCATGCGTCTGTTTTTCTTGACATCACATTTGTAAAAACATTTAGTCACAATTAATTTTCAGTTTTATAGAAATATATTGCAATCCCGAGCGATTTATTTAATTACAAGCGATCGTTAATTGCTTATTATGAAAGTAAAATAAAAGCGTGAAACGTCGAGAGGTATGCCGATGAAATATATCTAACGAGTCGCGTCTCTCAGGCTCACCCTTATCTCTTTCCACACTTTCCACACGATCAAGTGACAAATTGTCCGGTTAGAACGAGAAGCCATAAGTGAAGCGCGTGACGTAACGTGCTCGTGTAAGTAGGAGTCAATTGTCTTAAGTCCCATTATGATTTCATCGTTTAACCATATCACTTTACACGCCATTCCGTTCGCCGGCGAAGCGATGCCCTTAGCGCCCCGTCCAGCTGGCCCGGTCAAGGCCCGCGCGATCGTGTAAGAATTCTTCGACACGAATTCGCCATTATCACGCTACTTTTTCTCGTTTCTTAGATGCCCTCCCCCCCCCTTCTTTTCCTCTTTGCGATATTCTTCTAAAGTTTTTCCACGCCAACAGTTTTGCCAGCTAATTTTGATTCTGTCGGTAATTGACTCGGAAAAGAAGTTAAAATTCCATAAATTGCATTTTCTTAAAGTTGAGTCTAAAAACGTGTACGTGGAATCGTACGTAATACATGGAAGACTTTGGAACTGTCGGGTTGTAAATATGTGCGACTCTTATGAAAGAGCACGTTGAAACTGAAATATAGTAATCCCGTGTATCCCGTAATAGCTGTTCAAAGGTAAGACCGCCAGACGGTTAGATAGGAGGCGAATCCTTTTCTGGGCCCTCCCCCTCAATTGAGTAAAATTAGAAAATCTGGCTTACCCACGATTCGATAGACGGAGCAGAAAACTATCGTCATGACGACGAACCACGTGTTCCAGTTGTGTGCATTATTCACCGTGGCGACGCCGAGGAACATGAATATGATGGTCTCCGAGCTACTCGACAGCATCTTCATTGTATACTTGACGGTCGTGTGGGACTTGTGCGATATATTGGCCTCGACGTAATTCTTCATGGTAATACCGCAGAAGGTTATTCTGGAACAAAAGGGAACGCGAATTACGGAACGTGCGCAGCCAGGCAATTCATCGCCGTTCCCCGGCAAAGTTAAAGCTCGCCAGCTGAGAATCTTGTCTGTAAACGCGAGTAATTATAACGGACGTAACTACGGGGATTAAGCCGCGCACTGTTTAGAACTCCATTTCGGCACTGATCCATCTAACATTTCCCTCGCGGCAGTTTCTTGGCGTTTATTTCAGTTCCTTATTATTTCTGCAGAGTCGTGCCAATAGGATCGGTGCAACAAGTTGTCGTAACTTATTCTTGAAATTGATATCGACTTGATATTTCATCGATAGATACTTAATATCCACGATTAAATAGTTTCGATAACGTTCGCGATAACGGCCGCAAACGAAGAAAGAAACGAGCTGTTAGATGATCTGTTAATTTTTCGACTCACAATTCGCGAATGTATATATAATTGCTGAAACGTGCAGTTATTGGAACGCGTCTCGAGGAGGCTGGAGATGCCAACGCGGCATGTCGAAAAATCGATGATTTACTTACGCCAATATGCCGGACAAGTGGAAGATCTCAGCGCTGAGGTATGCCAAGTACGCCATCACGAATATGAAGATCGGCTCGATCACGCGCACCTGGTGAGTGAACCTGGTCACGAAGCCAGTGGCGAAACCCCAAAGTATACCTATGACCGTGCCGCCGATCGCCACCACCAAAAACGAGGCTAGGCCCGCTAGCACGTCCGTGTAAATGATCCTGGAAGGGCCCATCTCGCTGTACGTCTCGAACATGTGATAGAGCACCTGCGTATTCGTATTAAATGGCCTTTTACTTGGTCGTCGCAGTAACCCCTGACACTTTCCTTCGCTCGCCTCGCAACAGCACGAAACTAATAGGCGACGGATCGTTAACGGCTCAACCTTTTTCGCATTACCATTCTTAGTTGGCACGACCTAATTTTTATACAACGAGGCAGAACACTTTTTTCAGATGGTCGATTAACGATTGCAAATACTACACAAACTTTTATATACATATATATATATATATATATATATATATATATGTATATGTATATATTATATAAGTATATATAGAGCAGGGATACTGATCTATTTGTAGGAATATTCAAACTCGCACGACGTAACAGATAAAATTGGAACGGAATGAATGAATTTTTGGAAACCGTTTTACACTTCGGCATGCTACGTTCTTCCTTTTTAAGCGATACACAAATATTTTTTGAGAGTTAATTGTGCATGAATGATATTAATAACCGTCCAGGCGCCAGTGTTGGCGACACGTTTATTAAAGTTGTCGCGACGGAGTCGTGTATGCAAAACGCGTTTACATTATATCGTTTTGTTTTATTTAAACGGAGCATTACAGGTCGCAGACATATAGTCGCACGAGTAAATACGATATTAATATTTAAGCGAGGCGAAGGTATTTGGTACTTGACTCGCGCTTATAGACAATGGTGATCAATGTTATATCGATCCCTCGCCCGGCGAGTGCTTGTCGTTTATGACGGTGTCACGTGTTAGCTTCCGCTATATTCTATCTTCGTTTATTTATCAGACATTCTAAAATGTGCGATATGCGAGAATGAGAGACAAGGGTATTAATCTACGTCAACTTCAGGGTCAATCCTGGGCGGAAAGAGCAATCGCGTGACATCATACATAAAATGATTGCGGGGTGGTTATTGTTATCCACCCCTCCTTTGACATATTATTGATTACGTTCTGATGTTTCGCGATCATTAATGTAAAAAATATAAAATGAGGAAATTAATTCTTCTAAAAATAATTCTTTAAAAAAATGTACATCTGTTTTTATCTCTATAATGCTCCATTTATTTACTTAGAGTTTAGTTCTTCAAAAATTTCTAATATTTTTATTAAAGAAATACTTTTGTTTTTAATTTCATATTGCGATTATACAAATTCTTGACGTATCTTTATATATCTACTTAATGATTATTATTCGAAAAAAAAAGAAGATATGTATTCTTTTCTTTTTTCGTGCCTTTATTATTTACCAGATGTGTGTGCAGAGATCTCGTATTCGCAGACCGAGCGGACTAAGACTGATCGGCTTTAATCTTCGTTTTTCTTATATCGAAGACCTTTAAGAGTTTGCGACAAAAAGGACAGAGATTTCTGCAGCACAGAGGCGCGTGCTGCCTACGCAACGAACTCCTTGACGTGCAGGATCGTATAATGTAAATAATGTAATACTCACGACAGTGACCGCGTCGTTCAATAAACTCTCTCCGAACACGACGATGTAGAGTATCTCGTTCACGTGTATCTCCTCGAAGACGGCCAGCACGGCCACGGGATCGACGGCGCTGATCAATGCCGAGAAGAGGAACATATCGAGGATAGGCGTCTCGCAACCGAACATACCGCTTTTCCCCAACAGCCATAATGACACACCTAAAGTGCAAATAGCGTATTTTAACTGTAGGCACGCGCGTCCAATAGCCTGGATATCGTAATTCTTTTCGCGCCCGGTAATTCGCCTTAATTATCACAAATATCGTCGTTATAATCCGCTTTAAATACATCTGAATAAATTGTCAATTTATCGGGATTATTATTATCCTATCGATCCCCAAAGTCATTGAACGTCGAATCGCGATAAGAGGGGGAGGGGAAGGGGAAGCGAGAGGAAGAGAGATTATAACGTCGCCAAAGATAGAAATTTGCATTATCGAATACCGGCGCCCCGCCCACGTGTTATATTCGTAAGCTATCAAGTACTCGCACTCTTCCTCCCTTTCGCGAGAGACCCCTCTTGGTAAATAAGCCTCTTGTAAATTCTCGGCAATAATAGTTTTTAATATATTCCTACCGTAATCTATTCCTACGTTAATTAACAGCGTAATTTCACGTTATCGATCGCTGCCGTTATTGTGTCGCTTCTTACTTGGAAGTTACTTGCGGTACGTTTCTAGAACAGCAAGGAGTTTTCATTTCCGCCGCGAGTTCTTTATAGATTAATCCAGTTAATCGGATATCGTTAGATCTAATCGCGGTAATTACGGTAAACGATCGTTAGAAACAATTAAATTTTAATGCAACGTTATCGCGCGCGGCCGCCTCTCACATTTTTATTTTATCTCGCGTCATTTTCAAAAGTCATTTTCGTGATTTATTCGCGAATTTGCGTCTCTCGAAGAAATATAGATCTGCACATTTTTCTACGTGTATTCGCTTCTGTAGAATTAAAATTATATTAATTACAATTTTGATATTCGAATTTTGTGAATCAAAACTGCGAATAATTACAGTCGCATTGCTCCACGTTTCTTCTTGAAATGCTATTAAATAAATACTGATTAAACAAAAATTCATTTTAGAATTTGTATCGAAATAATTAAAAATGTATTACAGAAAAGATCACAAGAGACAGATGTGAAAGTTTCGAGAAAGACACTATATTTATAACATTCTATTTATTTATACAAGAAGAATAGAAACGTGATTTTTACATTTATTTTATATCTCGTAAATGCTTACATAAATGGCCCCTAATAAAGCATTTTACAGTGCTCTTGACCTTGGCACGTAGTATTGGCGTCTCTTGCGATAAAAAGTAATCGTCCGAAAATATTGGTACTGACAGTCTTTTAATGCGAAGTCGTCAATTCTAATCAATAATCTCGCGCCCGTCGTCGTTTACCCCCGCCATATCTATCTTGTCCCATTATGTGTTTTTTAAACGCAACTTTATCGAGCATTAAATAACTCAGATTTCGTTAAATGTCGCATTGATTTTGCTCCCTTTTTTTTCCCATTCGGCCACAGCGACAATTTCGCTCGAAATCCATATAGTTATCGCGGAGTCACGATCGAATCGCGCGTTATCAGAAGTGATAAGCGATTTTCCGTCGAATGACGATTGCCGCATATTGCTTTACATGTTGTCATCATTGTCGTCGTCATCGTCGTTATCGTCGTCGTCGTCGGCATCGACGTCGTCGTCGCTTGCCCCGCGCCTCCCCGACATCCGCTTCGACGCGCGCGCTATTTTCGTTCTCAAGCCGCGTGTTTTCTCTATGTTTTCAAGACGGAACATCTGCGCTCATGCTAGACCGCGAACAGACCGCGAGCAAAAGTGAAGAATGGAAATTCCACCATCTGCGGGGGATGCTCGGAGTGTTTTCTTTATGTATGCTTCCCTTCTCTTTATACATATGTATAATGTACAGCAACCAACTTGCTTAACTTGCTTATTACACTTTCAGACTTTTAATTAATTTTTTTCTAGGAATTTATTTTTATCCACGTGCGTTAGAGGCTTGTTTAACAGATTGCAAATTAGACTCGAAGTCTAGTCTTTCCCTTTGCAAAAATTTATTTGTGTGTTGCAAGTTTAAAAATTCATAAGTTCAAAATATTAAATATTATATTACAGTTGAAAAATATGTATAGTTTTATAAAGTGTTATAAATATAAAAAATTGTATTTCGTTTGTAATTTCTCAAATTATGAAGATAAGTTATAAGGAACTGCTAAGCAAACAACTAATCCGAAAGTTCGATGTCAAAGGCTTCACTTTTTGATGCGGTGCCCAACAGATGTTACGTAGCAGTATCAAGTATTATCAGGAAAAATGTTTTAAACTGTAGGAAGTTTACTTTTTTTTTTAATAATACTGCTAAAAATAATTCCCGCGATTATTACCAAATACGAGATACTTGAAATTTGATTTTAAATCACAATAACGACAGTAATGTTACAACTTAAGTTATTTTCTGATTTTTTCCTGATGCAAATCGTCGTCATAACATTATGATTACATTTGACTTCGTGACATTTTACGCTCGAAATCACTCGGGCAGTCTAGCGCGCGGGAGTGTCGCCTTCTGGGACCCCGTGGGTAGATAAGTACTCCGCACATTTCTACGTATTCAGAAATTCGGTTCGTGTGGGCAAGGCGAAAACGAAGTCCGAGTTTACGACCGAGTTTACCGCCGCGCGCCGAGGGAAAAGAAATAATATCCGAGTCGAAAATTCGTTCCCTGATTGTGCCGTTCGCGCCGGTTGACCGCGCCAGCGGGTGTTGTCGCGTCGTGTTGTCGCCGCTTTACCAACCTATCGACATCGTATTAAATATAGTCCCAAGGACGGCGAACAGGAGTATCGTCCCGAGGTGGTCGAAGAACAGCCGATTAGGCATGAAGTAGCCGGCGTCCAGGATGATGGGCGGCAGCATGTACAAGAAGAACGTGTCGGGCGTGAGCGGCGATATGTGGACGCTACTCGCTTGGAACAGCAGCAGGCCGACGATCACGCCGACGGCGATCAGCAGGCAGGACTCCGGGAAGATCTTGTTGAGCTTCGGCGACATGTGGAAGCCTATATAGGCGCCCCGCATCGTCGGGTTATATCATTAATTGTCAGCTCTGCAGTCATCAAGACCGAGACCGCTCTAATCTCTATAATTCTGACCCCGGAATTCGGATCCCTGATCAAATCACGGAGAGCCGTGAGAACGATCCGCAGCTGCAGTCGGAGAGTCAGAATCACCGAAATTACATTGGCCTCGATCGGAGAATTAACTGTGATGGAATACGCGGCGTGCTACTATAGCGAAGATTCCAACGGAGCGCGACAGGTGTAACGTGTCGCGTGTGCCCCGCATTTCTTCACGCCCGGCACGTGGACCGTCCCCCTCTCCCTCGCGGAGGGGTGCCGTTGAACAACGCGCGTCGTGTTGTATCGCGTACCGATGTTCGAGAACGTGTCCGATATTCGACGCATCGTACACTCGATATGTTCTCCGTGGAATCTTCGCCTTCGACTTGCGGGTAACTCCGTAACGCGACGAATGAGCGATATTGGACGTATCGGCGGTCACAACAAGTCACGATGGCTACTTACGTGGTCAAATTTGGAAACGAGGCCGGCGACTATTATTAAAAATTTCAGCCATTTTATTTAGCTACACTCTTTGTTATCTTGCCAAGCGTTAAATTTTTACGTCCCGCCAAGATATTCGCGCGACCGGCATGTGTGTGTGCGTGAATTTTTATGTAGGCAGGTATATTTTATTCTTGCCCGGCGTTCTTTCACTCCCGTGACTTTTACCACCGCCGCCCCGTCAAGCGAACAGAAATATCAGCGGCACAGTTTGTTTTTCTTCAACCACGCCACGCCGCGTTGCTCGCGTATCCACGCGTGCGTGCAACGCACGTGAAATTGCACGGAGAGAGAAAAATCGCGCGTCCATCGGATTTTACGTTGCCCGAACGGGGAATCAAGTAAATGGAGTGCTCACGTTCGAGTTCATTCAGCGCTTATCGTGCACAAAAATGAGTCCACGCGTGCATCGTAAGATAACTATATCGCAAGATACTAAAACTCTTTGAGATGCTCGAGCATCTTCATGCATCTCGAGAAATGCAAAAATGCGGCTTCTCTGCCGCGCGTGCAATTTTTCAAGAGCTCACTCCTACACACGGACGTCACATATTCCGCTGATTTGTACGAAATGAATTACAGGTCACATATTGTTAAGACACGAATTTTCATTCGATATTTTCGGCACGATAATAGCTTTTTGCGTCTGCACTCGCTTTCCCCGCCGCGCATTATTCGCTCGTGATAAATTATTAAAAACAAATTGCATTGTAACGAAAAAAAGGGTAATGAGCCTTGTATCACGCAACGAACGTTGCAGCCGGTTTTCAATGACATTTGCCAGGTTTTTGTTATGTAAGCAAATGGAAAAATATGAGTGCGCTAATGTATTCATCGAAAAGCGTCACTAGCGCTGAAAATTGATGCAGGCTGATGTGCACAGGCGGATAACAAAATTGCGACAGATGTTTTCGGTTATAACAATAGGTGCAGAGGTGTATTCGCAATATGACAATTTTCGAATAACATGTTGTCTATCGTAATGTTTGAATTTATTATATTACATATACGTTGTATTGTTTAACCGTTTCTAATTTCGTCGCGCATATTATTGCAAGTTGTAACAGTTATAATTGCGAATGTGAATGGAAGATATGATTAGAAAGTTTGTCTCTTTATATTTCTCTCTTAAAAAAGCGAGCTCTATTAAGAGATCAAATTAAATTTATAACGAGCAATAACGCTTCTATTTGGCTTGATGAATTTTTGATGTTTGCAAGAAGTAGATATGAGTCTTAAAAAAGACGACTCTTAAGTGCACCGGCAAACGCTCATTTGCTGCATTATCGATGCAAATATCTCGGAAGAAAATATACAGCTATGAGATATTTGCTTCTTTTGATCGAATATTCAATATTTAAGAGCATAAGTTGATTTATTGCAAATGCTTATCACAGGTGTCATATCTGCTTATTGTTTTCTACAATGAGTTCATTCTTAAATACTGAAAAGTCTGTTAAACAACACGCTGTTTACGTTAGACGATGTGCTCCAGAGAAGCCGACATTTCACGCCTACACATATCCTCTCCCGAGCACAACATCTCGCGTAAGAAGGGAGAAAAAAAAGAATAATTTCGAATCGATTCTCAAACTCGCCAAGCCAGCACTTACCGATTTTCGCGATGCTAGCGAAAAAGATCCAAATCCCGATGAGGAAGGGCGTCTCGACGCGCGTGAACTCGACGCTGACGATGCGGTACTCCGGTTTCGGCGAGGGCACGTTGCCGTTCGAGGAGTCGCCGCTGAGCGCGGCGTCGTCGCCGGAGCGCGCCGAGGCGAGCTGCTGCGATTCCTTGGGGAGATCCCGTCGCCCGGCGTCGTCGCCGCTGGCCGACGACATGCTACGCAGGGTGGCGTCGTTCGATGGCAGGGCCGAGCGGACTACCGGGCCCATGGGCCCGAAGCCCATACCCGGGTAAGCGCCGTACGGATCGCCGGGGAATTCGCCGGCGTCGATCTGCGGCCCGTGCGACGCGGGATGCTTGTCCGCCGGGACCCGTTCCGCGGACCCGAGCTCCGAGTGGAAGGGCGCGAGGTTGGCGCGGCCACATCCCGGACAGCACAGGACGACGGCGAGGAGCGCGGGGATGATCATCGGGACGAGGCGGCCCATGGCGCGGCCGACGTGGTGCGACGACGACGACGACGACGACGGTGCTTCTGCCGTGGACGATCCGCGCCGTCGTCCGCGCTCGTCCGTCGCCGGTGAGTCACTACTTCTACTCGTTGTACCATCAGAAGGGAACCGCCACGGCGACGAGCACGCTCGTACGTGCTGCGGGGCTCCCCGCGATTGACTCCCCTATACTAATATTCCCCGTATAGCGGCGACAGGGGCGGTTTACTCGATGAACTGCTACCCTCCGAGTGCAATCACACACCGCCGTGTGCTACTCCCCTCGCGCGTCTCTCTCACGATAGCGTGGTCGTTTCCTGGGTCACGTAAAGCAGCACACCGATCTACTTGTACACACGACGCGACAGAGAGCGATTTGCTCTTGGAAGCCTTTTTCTCTGTCAGGAGAAAATTTGTGTCTCTGCGCAGTCTGTTTGTACAAAGGCTTCCTCGGTGATAAATAATTCTCTAATTTTCTCCCCGCTGCAGCTTCGCGTGTTTGACAGCTAAAGTGGCTTTAATATTCAACTTCTTAATGACACCGTACATACGTAACATGTTTCAGGAAAACAAAGTTATATTGTTTCGACGTGTTTGTCGACCGGTCTCGACATGAGGACTGAACATGGATTGGACCCGGTTCCCGAGTCCGGAGTACGGAGTTCTATGATCCGAAATGAAGGATAACAAGTGTCGCGGCTATAAATCGCTAAAACGTCAAACCAATAATTAAGCGTGACTCATACCACTTCGGCGCCGAGACGTCGCGCGTTATAGTGACAGCTGCTGCTGCTGCTGCTGCTGCTGCTGGCGGTCTATGTCCCTCGTGTGAAATCGCAGCGAAAGATGATCGCCGTCGTTAGGAATGCTTGCACTTGATACGAATAAAAAAACTCAGCTGCGACCGTACGTATTCCCGGGATAGGAACCGCAGACAGCCGCTTTCTGGTTTAGGGTAGGGAAAATCGGATCGCTCTCTCTCTCTCTCTCTCTTTCTCTCTCACACACCTGCCCCTCGGCCCAACGCAAACAGAAAGGAGAACCTATGCAAACGCACGAGGGAAACAACTTTCGGCTTTCGTGCAACTGCGGCTTTTACTGATCGCACGTATATACAGACGACGTGTTTTAACGGCGCGGCGCGGCGCGGCGGCGAGGATGACGGGGACGGGTGCGACGCGCGACGCTGCTCGTCTTACGCGCCGCTCACGAATACCGCGACGCTCTCAAGTCTTCACGGAGTCACCCGGCGTTGAGCGCGAGGTCTGATCGACGCGCGGCGGCCGCGGCGGCCCGTGGACGACGACGTGGTGGAGGGACAGGAAGCGCGATGATGATAACGGGCGCGCCGCATTGTAAAATACGGGCGGACGACTCATCGAAGTGGACGTACGTCGCACCTTCGCCGGCGTGCTTCTATCGACCGACCGACCGTCCCGACCGACCGACGCAACGACCGACACGGCAGCACTGCACGGCCGCGTACTGACGCGCACTACCGTCTCGTCGTCGTCGTCGTCGTCGACGGTGGCGGCGACGGCGACGACGCCGATAACGCCGAGCAACGGGGAAGCAGCGCTGTCGAAAACGTGCGTAGGCGCCGTCGGCACTGCCCTCGTCGTCGGCGACGATAGGTGATGGATGTACGTTAGAGACCTGGCACCTGTCCCCTTTTCCTCTCCTCTCATCTATCTCCGTCCGCTCGCCGTTGTCATCCCTCCACACGCCGCGCTACCCTCGCAAGTCCCGCTCCCACCACGACGGCAGCTTCTAGCCAGCTGATCGTCGATGAAACCCGCGCAGGCGTCGCGACGCCCCGATATAGCTATACCCTCGACCGCGGCCGGCAGCGGCGTCGAGTGCACGTTGCTGTTTTCGTTACGCCGATGCACCGTTTCCCTGCGGAAGTTCTCCCGCCAAAAATATACTCTCGTTCAACGCGGCTTTATTACGCGGCTCATTTACGGTCGGGCCTTGCGGATCGCGTTGCTATTCCCAAGGGGACGTTTTCCGCGTTACAGCATCGTTCTCGCGCGTCGTTGAGCGGGGAGGGTAGCTCGCGAGGGTAGCGACGAAGCACGTTCTCGCCGCGGTGGTGTTTCTCCGCATCGGAGCGAGTGCCTGCAGCTCACCCGCTCGTAGCGCGTATAGCCGTGTAGTCGACGCGCGAAAAGTTCCACTTTCGCGGGGGCGTCGCTATATACCCGGTGGCGTCCCGACGTCTCGGCGACGGCCGCGCGAAGCCCTGACTGACGCCGATCTTAAACCGGAGAGACGCGTCGCTCGCCGCGGGTCTCGGAGGCCTTGACCTTGCGCATCGGATATCGCGCCGGTATCGCTCGATGCCGCGCGGATACGCGTGGCCGGTTCTCTTGCCACGGATTTCGGCGTATTTGCGCGAAAGATCGTTCGGCGTCTTTCTGGCGCGACCGCGTTGAATGCGGTGACGCGTGTGTGTCAATCGTCGCCGCGAGTATCATTATTATCATATCGACTGCAGAGACGTAGACACGAGAGATCCTCCAGTTTTCCTCCTCCGTATAATTATCGCGACGCCGACACGGCGAATTGCTATAATCCGGTCGCGCTTCTTTTCCTTGCGCAACGCGCCGGCGGGTATAATTCGTGTGACGTGCGGCGGGAAATGCGGTTAGATAAGGATTTATTGCGGCCTACTTGCATAATAAAAAAAATTATCGGAGCGTCGAGTAGCTTCTGCCCTGACAAATGATTCCCCGGCAAGGCGGTTCTCTGCTGTTTGCAGAACGATAGAGAGGCGTGCGGCGTGGCGCGCGCTTGCGGTCGCCCGCTCTTACTTACTCCGCTCGCTACTTTAACTCCCGACGCCTTATCTTCTGCCCCGTACGTACCTCTCGACAACCGCCCTGTGTTTATCAAGATCTAGCGGCTTACGGAAACCCCTCGGTGCCGTACGTTGTCGCGCGGTGCGAGCGCAAATCCACCCGGATGTAAAAATCGTTGGCCCGAACGGTGCATTTGCGAACGCCGGCGCGCACTTTGGAGCGCCGTGAGGGGATTTCTCTTTTCGAGCTTCTCTTTTCCGTAGCGCGGCATACGATTAATTAACTGACCCATCAAAATTTAAAGAGTGAGTGAATGATCGCCTCGCGCGCGTCACCGCGCGTCGACAAGTCCTCCCACGTCGTCGGATAATCGAAATAAAAGGAGTCATTCGACCGGAAAAGCTGGATCTATTTGATAACGCCGCTATTTGTATACGCCAGCACACGAGGAATCGCTTGTTTGCACAACGATAAGGCACGATTAGCGGCGAAACGATAAGAAACGATCCGTCCTTGTGGAATTTCGTGCGCGATGAGGTAGTCCGCGGTGCACACACAGTTTGATTTAGGGCACCACATTATCGCGCTATCCGACGGAGCAATCGCGGTGAGACGATAAAAGTGATGCGAGAAAAAAGAAAGAAAGAAAGAAATTACCCCCCATCTCTCCATTCTGACACGGCGGCGTTTCGTCGCTACCGCCATTAATGCCGAAAAATTAAAGTACAGATCGATTTCTCCTTTATAAATATTTCGTGCCATATTTCGCAAGCGCGAGACCATTATCGCGAATTTCTATCGGTCAAATCTCCTTTATTATCCACTCGGCATTAACTAGACGCGGGATTTCATATTTTATTTCGTTTGTCAAAACGCCATTAATTTTTCGTGTTCTATAATTCTGCGATTTGACCTTCTCATCAAATTTTCATAATAAAGAGATTATTCTCACATTTGTCGGTGAAATTTATTATTAACAAGAGAAGCAGTAACGGTCAGCGAGAGACGTTGTACATCTTTTTTCTTTCTGCCTCTCTCTGTCTCGTCCTCTATTCACTTCGTCTCTCCTCGTTGTGATTTGCCGTTCGTGTCTAGCGGCTATCGATTTTTCATTACGCCACGCGCAACCTTGGATTGTCGCGTTTTTCGACTTCGTACCGAGAGAGCGCAATCGCGACATTATTTTCGCATCGTGGACAAGCGAGGCACCCCTGCTGCCCACAGGGGGAGAAAATGATATGAAGCGAAAGTGCGGCCGGACGGAACGACGAGGCCTCGGTGAAGCTTGACGGACCACGAGCTCGCTCCGCTAGTTAATCCGCGATCTACTTGCGCGTGCCGTACGAGCCATCCGTCGTGTTTCGGCGTAATTATAACCGAACCCTGTAATTTCATCGTCATTAATATTTCTGTCAAACGCCGAGCCGGAATGGCGTCCTAATGAAGGAGGTAGCATTGATCCAAGTCACATCGGCCGGCCGGACGCGTCGCGCGGCCCGGATTCCGAATTCACCCTCGCGCCGCGCCGTCGCGCGCCGGCTGCGTGATACGATTGTACGTGGCATTACCGCGGCTTATCCTGAAAATTAGCCTGCTGGGTATCGTTCCCCGGACCTGGGCGGCGGTTACAACCGTCCGCCCGCCCGCGCGAATAGAGCCGGGCAGTGGTGAGGCGCAAGTAAGGCAAAGGGTTCGCAAACAACCCTGCCGGGAACGGTCCGCTTGTTGCGGCGGGGCACGCAATCGTATAACGTACGACATTCCCCGTGCTCCATAATTTAAAAAGGCGTTCTGGAGCCCCGCCGTCGACGGGCGGCATATGGCCGAGAGTTATGAGCGCTGGCCGTGGATTTTTAATCAGATCGGCCTCGGTACATATATTAACGTATTGTGTTTCTCGGCGATCGTCGTATCGAGAAATAACTCGGATATCACGTTGCAATGGAAACGCTAGTTGCGAATAGTATTGGCATATCGCGTAAGTGAAACAACAATAGACGCGTATCCACGTAAACGCATATGTGCTAACAATCCCTCTTATGTATAATATATAAGTTCTCAGTTGTATAACAAGAGCTGTATATGTTACTTTTCATACAACTGTAACTTGTAGACCTTGTAAAAAAAGACTAAAAGCGTGACATATCAGTGTAATACTGTGGCGATCGCACATCCTTGTAATACTGGCGATTTTTCATTCCAAGTCTCGAATATACAAATATATCAGAAATGTATTTCTAATTCTACAATACGGATGCAGAATGCAAAAGTAAGCGCAAAACTCGCAGTAAAGTTAGAGCCAAAGTTGTCAGATCCACTATATTTATTACATCTTTGAAAGAATTTGTATAGAATCCAGCTACGGGATGTAACAGCAATGGCTTTTCCATCGCCGATATTTTCGCTGCCGATATATGGATTCCGGTGATGTTTTCGCGAAGAACGCGGTCTGGATTTAATAAAGTTGCAAACAGTAACGTGAAATCGAAATTTCGCCTGTCTTATTTTCTCTGTCTCTATTACCGGCGTGATTGGAGAAGGGGTTGGCTTATATATCCCCTGGCGAGCGATACAACAGCGGGATATGCCTGCTACGTTATTTAGAGGGTATATTCCGCGCCACGACGACGCTCGTGCATCGCTCGATGATTCGAAAGAGGTATAACGACGCTCGCTCGGCTCGGTCAACGCAGCGTTAACGGGGCCGCCCCGTCGCCCCTCGCCCGCTTTCCGTTCCCCTAGTGCGGAAAGCAGGCGAACGAGGGTGCGCGAGGATTCCACGAGGGTGGCGTGGAAGCCGTGACGAGGGAAAGGTGGCGAGTGGAAGCGGAGAGAGCGCGCTGAGGGAGAGAGAGAGTAACGGTACTTGCGCGAATTTCTCGAGTCTCGACATTTGTGTCGACAACGAGGCGTCGACGGTCGGCGACACGCGCCGAAATGTTCGTACATCGGCAACGTTGGAAAAATGTCGACAGTCGCTCATTGCGTATTAATATGGATCTATCTCGAATAGACGCTATTTATATAATCGTAATGATCTCGACAGGAAGGCACCGCGGCGCGGCGCCGATACCGAAACAGATATGACACAGACCTAAGCGGACGTATCGTCATTTATATTTATACGCGGCGAAAGGTCTGAGTTCGTTAACACGTGCAATCGCGATTCCTTTTTCTCTCTCTTTCTCTCAGTGGGATTAATGGATATTACGTAAGTCGCGGCAGTAGCCGTCCCCCGGTCACGTATTCGCGCCGGAGTCTATTGAGACGTCTCAGGATAAAGGAATATTACAAGAGAGCGTTGTACTTTTTGTGTTGCGCGACGATTTCGTGATACGTACAGAATACGCGTCACGACGCCAAACTCGTGCAACTGATGTACGTTGTTTTCTTCTACTTTCGCCCTTTCTTTTCTTCGCGAGAGAATATGGCAGTGTCAGATGATGTCGATGTTCGAAACCGCGCGAATACGACGAATGAAAAACCGACCCGAGGGATCGATTTTACGATGAATTGACGATCGGCACGGTTATCGCGCGGCGATAACTTGGCGAACGTTCCCCCGAATGGATCGTAATTAAGATGTTAAACAGATGCCGAGCGCCGATGGGTGTATTAATTAGCCGCTATTCATTCGCGCGATCGTGCACCTATGAATCCGAAATGAGATCGCTCTGCCGTTGATTTACCCTTACCCTCCCCCGCGACCGTTTCCCGCCGCACGAATGGGGAATATCATCGGGCGCGTCGGCCGGATGCGGAATGAAAGAGGAAATTGGCCGCGCGCGCGCGGCCCCGTGAACTTTTCCTCGTGATTAGCCGCCCTCTTCCCTTTTTCCGACGAGACGTTTTTTTTTCCACCCGGTCCACAATCAGGTGCATTTTAGCGCGGCCACGCGGGAGGAGGGGGAAAGGGAGTTGGTCGCGCGGAGTCCGCCACCCCCGTGCTGAAACACACACCATCCATCTTCCCGCGTCTCACCAGAGACCTTTCAGGTTTATTGCGGCGTAAACAAGACCCCGCGCGAAAGGCGTCGTTTGCGCGCCGCCAAAGGTGTATAGCGTAACCGACTATATTTTTGCTCGGCGCGTTTTGACGCGATTTACCTACGACGGAAGAGCGTTTATCGCGCGGAAATTTACCAGTTTGACGCATCACGGGTAATTCGATCGGGAGGCGGAGGCGCGCGGGTGTGTAATTAGTTTATTCGGGAACGGATACGTGCGCGAGGTGTCCGGCGTGAATTTAAATTCCGCGACATAAATGTGTCGCGGCCCGCGGTATCGCGGACACGCAAGTATTCATTCGCCGATGCTGTTTAATGGACATGCAAGTACGTGCAGATGCAATGATGATTAAAGTTATTTATATTCCCGGCGATGAGTCGGGATATACATATATAAATTGGGACGTGGCCGCGAATGACGGGGATTTACGGTCGAGTTCATTTCGCGGAGAACGTGCGAATGATGGGCGATAAGACCGATGGAGAGGCCACTGAACCGTGGGGCGGCGAAAAGTTTTGAAGATTATTTCGAATTAGTTTTAATTCGCCGTAATTGGTCGCGAACGCTGGACCGGAAGCGGCTACCGCGAGAGAAGGAGGAGAAGGAGGAGGAGGAGGAGGAGAAGGAGGAGGCGGAGATGGACGAAAATTCGTTTTAATTAAAATTGATAATCCCGGGAGAATGGTTATTATTACGTAAGTCGCCCCGCGGCTGCATTGGGAATCGAACAAGTTCCCCTTCGGAAGTTATTTGGGATTGCGAGTTACGTCGTCCGAGCTCCGCCGGAGTTGCGCCTTCTAATGGCGACGTCCATGCAATCGGCGCACAAACACATTCAACCACTCGGCCGCGCCGTGACGCACTTACGCAAGCTGCACAATTGTGCTGTTACGATACGACCCTGTTCATTCTACTTTCTTGTATTACGTCGGGGTGGGCGACAGCGATAAATAATCCGTGGATATCCGTACTCCCTGTACATGATACCTCTTCATGTAAGTTATGTTCACACATATTTCTGGAGGATAAAAGCTGAACAATATCTGTGCCGTAGACAAGTCTCGTTCATTGTGTCACAGTGTTACGTTAACTGTTGTTACGAGAAATAGCAGGAATAGCAGGAGGACAATGCCGTTAAGCGAACGGATGAACAAACACTCCAGATTAATCGTTTCTCTCGTTTAAGCTTTCATTTTTTTAAATTTTATTTACTTCTTAAATTAGAATATATGTACACAAATGTAAAAAAGAAATATATAAAAGGTATAAAATTTGTACAAGTGGTGGCGATAAAAATATTTGGGAACTTAACTAGATATATATTGATATCAAGACATGCTTATACAGGTATCCCGAATTTAAATATCCAAACTTCGAGAGCGTGTAAGGGATCGACAGACTAAGAAAAAAAAGTCCTTTAGAGATTTTACTTCGTTTTGAAAAAAATCGCAAAAAAAACAAAACGTACTTTTTATTTTTGTGTTATTTGTTATTTGTTTATTCATATTTATTTACGTTGTTACTTCCTTGTGAATAGTGTTTATCTCGATACGTTCCCGAAAGTTTAGATATTCAAATTTGGGACGCCCTATATATAAGAAATAATTTAATTACTATATTAAGTATTATCGGGAAATTTATTGCAATCAGTTGTAATTTATCTGTCAAAGTAAAACTTGATAAGAAGAGATATTCCGAATAAGGAGCGGTATTGTCTCATCGCGAATAGTCATCCAAGTAAAACATAGCGATACAGAACAGGCAGACCTGCAAATAGACAAACGGATATCCAGATAGGTGGTCTGATAGAATATCGATAGCGGTATATCTCGAAAAAGGAGGAAGAGAACACATCGTGACAAGACCGCCCGCCTCGTAGCAGGAGAGAGTGCGTTCATCCTGCGAGAATGCATACACACAAAACATACACGCGAGGGGGCGGAATGGGGAACAGCGGGGTGTCCTGGCGCGGGGGAGCACCAGGGGGAAAGGGGAGACCGGCCTATCGGGGGCCGGCTCGGAGTTGTTCGGAATCTATCGGTGGACCAGATTTTACTCGTATATACGTACGCACATTCACCCCCGCGGCACGACGACGCGCGACGGCGCGGCGCGACGTCGAGGGGGTGAATGCGTGTCGCTTCGTCCGCGCGCGTACACCGCGTGTGTGAGTGCGGCTCTTGTACGTATACGTGCACGCCGTCGCTAAGACACGCTCGACGACGCCGGGGACGCAGGCGCGGTTTCGCGCGGTCACGCTCGCGCACTCGGCGGCGCGCGTCGCCGGCGCCGCCGTCGTCGTTTCCCGAGGAAATTGATTCTGCGCGAAACGCAACGGGGGTTCCAGCAGCGACGGAGCCAGCCGTGCACCACCAGAGAGAAGCCGGGCTCGGCGGGCCGCGCATACTCCTCCGCCGGGGAATAACATCCGCGATATCGAGTCGCGCGAGAAGGAACTTCGTAACACGTAACGCTCTCAGCCGACGATCCCCCGATCGCGGCGTATTATGTAAGGGGGATGTTGCCGCCGTTGTCGTCGTTCGCTTACGGCACCCTTTCACACACGCGCTGTACTGGCCGTTGCCGTTTCTACTACTGCTACTGCTGCTGCTGCTGCTGCTGCTATTGAAGAGAAGGATAGAGAGAGAGAGAAAGAGATAGAGGGAGGCAGAGAGCGAGAGAGCGAGAGAAAGAGCGGAGAGGTGCCTCTCCGACGACATGCGAAGAGACGCGTCCGACGCGACGACGACGGACGACGAGCGAGGATCGCAGACAGCCCCAGTGAGACACGTCGGCGACGACGAGCGACAGAAGCATTCATGGAACTGAAAATCCTGCTGTGGGTTCACATCGTGGGTGAGTTGCCTTCCGACGAGTCGCCTTCCGCACCGCCCTTACGCGGGTCCCCCTTTGCGTATATGTGCGTACATGCACACACGTATATACACACACACGTCGTCGACACGCGTAACACGCAGAATCACCCTCGTCGTATCTGGCGACGGTGTTGTCCGCTGTCGACGACGGCATGCATGCATGCTTGCTCCGGATTACCCTCCTGCACCTCCATTCACCTCAATTCGCGCTGTCCTCCCGCTGTACGCGACGTCTTCCCCGCTGGCTGGTCACTGCTACCTCGCACGTTCGTTGCCCCGATAAATGAGCTATCCTACGGTATAGATCCGTCCTTGCGGCCGTGTGCCGACGCGGCTCCGCTGCACCTGCGATGACTATCAGCCAACGTGGATCGTCCGCGCAGAGAGAGCCGTTCTACCCCTTTCGGTCGGGTCGAGATGGACCGTTTTCGCGTGATCGGAGCGACGGTACGGGCTTGCGGCTGTAAAATATGAATAAGTTAAGTTAACCGTGGACCAAATATATTTCGTTCGAAAACGAACGTTTGCGTTGACACATCTGAATAAACATGTGCGTGTACGTGCGCAAACCGACGATGTAAATTTTACATGCACGTACGTACATTCGACTTTTTGGTCAAGCTATTACGTTAAACCCAATGAATTTATTATGTTAACATGGATAAAATTAAATTGCCGATATTAAGCGAGAGATTAAATTAACGCATTACCGCATCGAAGCGCATGGCGCCAAACTATAAAAATTTCAAGTTAAGCGTACGGCTATACATTATCATCGTTAATTTAGCTCCACCGTAAAATTCATGCCTGAGTGCTCCAGGTCAGACACTTTTTCACGATATCAGAAACTTTCTCCATTACGGATATTAGCATAAAGTACATGCATAGACGATGCGGTGGTACGCGCGAGGATTGCGAAGTCGTCGTATGGAATAATAACGCGACACGCAAACGTCGTCGCGAAGAGGGGTGCATCGGCCGGGGAGCCGACGTCTGTCGGGATCTTCGCGGATTTTCCCCAGCTCGTGAAATGGATTTCGTCTAGGCGGTGTGGGCGTTGCTACGCCGGGGAACAAAGCGCAAAAACTGTTAACGGAGACGCGAGAGAGAGAGAGGCGAGAGACGTCGCGTCTCGGGGATGCGAGGAAGAGGATCCTGTTCGCCACGAGCGTTGAACCAGCAGCCAGGGAGGAAAGCCGGCGGTTGTATCCGAGGAACATTGGCGCGTCGGGTCGTTGCACCGCGTTCGCCATAAAACGCGCGGGCGTTCCCCGTAATAGGGCATTAACAAATTTAACGAATTCCCATCACGGCGGGTATATAATCGTATTAATGACATTCTGGCGAATACGATTTTACGGCGAGCGCGGCGGAGAGCCCTTCCCCCGCGCCGCCGAGTGAATTCGCGCTCCGTTGCGCGCGCTAGCGATCTGGCCTCGCTAAACTTCTTCGTCTTCTTCTTCTTCTTCTTATCGATGTTTTTCTTGCTTAATATTAACGGTCGTCGGCGAGCGATCAAATATTCGATTATCCGATATAACTTTGTAACGTATACCGATCGCTATTTGCGACAACTCTTATATACGTTCACAAATGGAGACTTCATGCTCGCCGTCAATCTTACGTCAATCTTGCCTTTCATTCGAGGATATATGTATTTTAGAACAGTTCTGTCAGAGAAAAAGAGAGAGGGAGAGAAGAACAGAGAAATAAGAGCTCCTTTCTAGTGAGAATTTTGTTTAATATGCAAGTGATTGTGAGAAGGACATAATTTTTACATGACGTCGATGAAACAACTTTCTTCGTTGTTTTATTCAATAACACGAAAATTATTGAAAAAACAATAAATCAGCAAGTTAAAATTATCGAGGAATCGTTATATTGACATATTGATAATTTTCGTCTCTCGTGTGACACGGCGTAATGTGAGTAATTATATATTGAAATCGGTGAATTATAAGACCCTCGCACCTGAAGAGACGCGCGAAAGTAATCACGACGTTTCCTCGTTGCAATAAAAATGGATGGCAGGGATACAGTATCGGGAAATAAACTTGCTGGAATTATACCATTTCCAATCCCTTCTAACAAATAATAACGTTTGATAAATGAAGTGTTAAAATGTATACTCCACGCGATCGTCTACGTCATGAAAACCTGCGCATCTGACGTTAACAAACTCGCTTGAAAACGAGCACCGCACTTCAAATTGAACGGATTCCGAAACCCGATATTAAGCGCGAGATATCCCGTCTGCATTAGCGCGATTTTTTACGAGCGAGGATCTACTGTATGAAAAGCAAGTTATAATCCTTTTTCTCTTCTTTTTCCGAAAAAAAAAGAATGGCGGAACTTCGCTTATATCTATACGCGTTGCCATTTATAACGCAGATAACGATGCACGGTGGCGGTGGCGGCGGCGGCGGCGGCGGCGGCGGCGGCGGCGGCGGCGGCGGCGGCGATTGTTCCGTTATTACGGCATCTCCCTTTATCAGTTTGCGCTAAAAATAGCAGAATCCAGATAACATTTCCATTCGCGAAATCTCGAATCAAAGTCTCACGATGCGTGCTCATTCTCATCGGTAATTTTCGTCCGATCGTGCGCGAGCCTTTTGCCGGCGCACAAAAGATAAGCTTTCTATTGGAGCGTATAGGGATGCGAAGCGTCGAAGCGCACGACGATACGGGCCCCTCTCTCAACTCTCTCTCTCTCTCTCTCTCTCTCCCTTCCTCTACGCAAATGCGATTCGTCGCTTCGCTCGGCAGCTAATTAAGCCGATCGCTCTACCGAACGTCATATCCGTTCTGCAGATCCGTCCGCGCGATTGTCCGATCGGGCGAAATCGCATTCATTGCGCGAGAGCTGTCCGTTAAACCGAGCGTATCGCCATTAGTGTAAGCGAATTAAGCTGAACTCGCACTCGTATCGGCATCGAATATTCCGAATCGAGCCGCTGTCTCTCGAGCAGATTGATATTACCCACTTCGCCACTGGGTACACCGGGGCGAATGGAAATTATTACGAAGCGCTGTTTGCGCATCCACTTCTCTTTTTCCCTCCTTCTCTCTCTTTCGCTCCCTTTTTCTTCCTCTTTTTTTTGCGAGAGGTCATAACGCAACGTCCGACGTACCGTACCACGGAAAAAAAACTCGGGTGGCTCGCAGAGCTGAATTCGACTCGTTAACGCCGGCCATAATCGCCGTCGCTCGAGAGTGCTACAGAAGTGCGTTACGGCGTCGTGCGTGCTTATCTGTTTCTTTCGCACGACGGCACGTTCGTTACTTTCTGCCGGCACGACGACAGTCTCGGGGCGGGTCGTCGCCTCGACCCTTTTCTTCCCCCCTCTCTCCCCCCCCGTCCCCCCGTCGTCAATCGTCGCTGTGCTTGCCGCAAATCCACTTTTTATTAACGACTAACGACCGGCCACGAGAGAGTGCCCTCGTGGTTTTGTAACTAAATACCCGTAAGCCCCGTGAAGTGCCGCTAAAAGGGGTAGGGGGAAAACATTACGCCCCGATCGTCACACCCTTTAATGCGCCGGGGCAATATTTCCCTGCGATACTCTCCGCCGAAACTCTCCTCCGTCCAATCCGCGAAACTGCGAGAGTCGGCATTATATCGATCCCGTGGAAAGAAAACGCTAAGAATTTCTCCCCGGCGCGCGGAAAACTTCGGTAAAAATGTCGCATTGAAATCGTTGCGTACCGCATGAATCATTTACACGGAAACTTTAATACCACCGCCAGACTTTTCTTTACATAAACAGAATCTCTAACGTAAGTTTGCTGACCATAAAGTTTTGCTGCCTGATTGAATACGGTAACCAGTCGCGATGTCACGATGACGTTATGCGCGACTCTAAGTTTTTTTTAGTTTTTTTTTCCAGGTATATTCAGACTATGTATGTATATACGCTTAAAAAATTTACTTACTGTCACCGATAATGGAATTCTTATTTTCACTGACCGACATATGAAACGTTTGTAGATTTATTGCGTCCTTTATGCAAAACGCGAAACATAAATAGCTGGAGAATGAGATCGTTTCGAAAAAGCGCGAATGATTTTTGCATCTAGGTACGTAGGCACGTGGAAATTCTACGAAGGCCGCCGCGCCGCGACGATGAGATCCGTTTCGGGAACGCGTAAGCTCTGTTTCTCGCGCGAGAATCGATCCCATTCCTCGTGAATGAGAATATTTGGCCGAGGCCCCGGAGAGGGGAAACGGAGCAGAGCGCGAGAAGGATTCTATTCGCGATCGATAAAGGATTCCGGCGTGGGGATTCGCCGAATAATTTCGAATCCGCGGATGGAGCGGCGAGTGCGTCGCCGTTATTATAAGAAACTATTCCTCGCGAGCCCGTATTATAGGTATTCGCGGTCGCTTTCATTATGAGGATTTCCGCGTAATGACGATGTCGCTCTGATAACCAAAGTCGTGGCTGTGTGTAGCCTGCGAAGCCCAGTGGTTCCCAAGTGTGCTCTCGCGGCACACAGGATCATTTGATCTAATTAAAAGATGAGGCTTCCTCATGACAGTCGCACACACAGAAAGGTCTGAGGAAATATAATCCTTAATTAACGTAATGTATCTTCCATCGGCTTTTCGCGCGTATACCCGTCGAGCGGCGTAGCACGTGTACCATTGTACAGGGCGACGAAGGAGAAACGTGATATTTTTACGTAAAGATCGAATAACCGTAATGATGACAAATTATCATTCCCCCCCCCCCCGTATTAGCGTATTAGCGAGTCCAAAATAGCGAGATGATATTTAGCGGGAGATTGAGTCACGAAAGAGCGGCCCGTACGGAATACCGAATCGAAGTAGACCATCGCCGGTGGAAATTTTAAAATCGATATAGCTACAGAATATTATATGACGTAGCGCCTTTACTTCAGTCCGACCTTCCGAAAGCCCATCGTCACTTTTCCTATTTGGGAAACACTGTCCCACGAACGTAATCGATGAGGTATGCATCGCGGGCGATATTCAGCCGCCCTCTCATGACATGACACGGCAGAAATTCACCTTCGGCTTTCATTTCCTCTTTTCCCCCGAGGGTATGAGTCGAGATTCAGATCCATATGCGGGTCTGTCTCCCTCTCTCTCTCTCTCTCTCTCTCTCTCTCTCTCTCCCTTTCTCTTTCGCTCTCTACGTCCTGCACGTGCCCTAATAACTTCGCCAAGATCATCCGTCCCGATAAGCGTACAACGCGAGCCGGAGAGCATGCCGGACCGCCGTTTCGACGACAAACGGGTGTATAATACGCGGGCGCCCGACGTAGACGGGCGTCGATAAAATATAATTAACGAACCTTTCCGTTCTTTCTCTCTTTCCCAGGAATTTGCTCGGGTCTGCGAGGAGTGCGCATCCAGATACCGACGGCCGTGAAGAAGGGCGACTCGGCGACGCTGAAATGTTGGTATGACACCGAGGGCGACCCATTGTACACCGTCAAGTGGTATAAAGCGAATCGAGAGTTTTATCGCTATGCCCCGAACGAGAGTCCGCCCGTCAAGACTTTCCCCATCGGAAACCTGACGGTGAAGGTAAGTTTTTCTCCCTCCGCCCCCCCTCCCTTCCCCCGCCTCTTGTTCCCCATTCCCAATCCAAGGTGACGGACGAGCTTTATACAACCTCGGGTGTCCCGCGGGCCGTCGCGAAATCTCGAGATCCTTTTGTAGCCCGGCGGAGCCGCGCGGAGAAAAAAAAAGCGGGTGTCAAGAAGAGAGAAAGAGAGAGGAACAGTGAGAGGGGGAGAGGAGGGGTGAGGATTTATTGCGGTCGAGAAGTTGCGAATAGAACACGATAACACCGATACCGCCGGAACGTACAGTTCCTGCTTGCTGCTGTATAGCGTATACCGTTCTACATATCGGCTGATCGAAGTTTTTGAATTCGAGCTGTCTCCCTACGAGAGGAGTAACTGATGGCCCTCGTCGATGTGCGTTACCCGTCCTGGTATGGGTGTCGCGTTTTCCCTCTATTAAATTCCGTTTTTATTTTTCTTTTTAATTTTTTAACTGGACAGGAGTTTTATCGCGTTTTTTTTATTGTAGTCTTATATTCAATTTATGGTATCGCAAATTCTACAGTTTTTTAAAATTGTATTTTTTGTAATTTTACCAACTAGAAAGAATCGATGACATTCTATTATTTACGTCAGTAATCTATATGTACAGTAGTGTATATGTATGTACACATGTGGATATATATATATATATATATATATATATATATATATAAAATTTGGCGACGTTGAGTTGCAATTTTTACTCTTTTCAAAGTATTTCCTTTAAATGAGATACGTTCTACTCCACTCTATTTTTCTCCGCGAACGTTTCGCGGATGCATCGTTTACACGCTCCAAACCAGTTGCTTAAAACGCCGTTAAATATAATTTTATGCGGCCCGGCGGAGGGTCCAATTTAAAATTCCGCGTTTCGGACACGGCAGCTCCGATTACGATCTAATGACGGTTGTTATGACGAACGTCCACGCAGCGCGAGACGGCGACACGTATATCTATACGGCCGTCCGGCGGATAGATCATTCTGCATTATTGCGCTTTGCACACGCGTTTTTTAACGTCCGACCGTTCCTAGCTGCCCGACGTGCGCCACATTTTTGCGATACGTATGCCGAGCCGCAGGCGCTTTTCGCTGCAATTCGAAACGCAATTCGGACACCTTGCTGCGATATTCATTACTTTTAACATCGCTCGATAACGACTCTCGGCAATCGACAACCGGTGTGCAAAAAAAAGAGAAGAGACGGAGAGGGGGGGGGGAAGCAAGCCCGCGAGTGCATCGCGAATATTTAAACGTCGCGGATGGGCCGGGGAGGGAAACGCGAGACGGGAGATCCCCGTTTGGGAATCAAACCGGGACTGATATCGAATAACCAGGCCGGTCGCATGTCGCACGATTGGCGGAAGCATTGGTCATTAATGGATTGGACGGATTCCTCTCTCGTAAGCGCGCCCGTTACGTATTCTCGTATATGTACACGTACATGCCGGGCGTATCATCCGGGAGAATTCCCGCGGCCCTCCGTGTCCCCGATAATCGCAACGACGACAATGACGACGACGGAAGGACGGCGGGAGGCCGACGTGGACGCCTTTCGTGCCGAGGCGTATACGATCGTAATGAATTACTGTTGTTCCGCAGAAAACGGAGAGCAACGCGACGCAGGTCGTGCTGACGAAGTTGGAATTGGAGGCGGCGGGCGTGTACAGCTGCGAGGTATCAGCCGATGCACCTTCCTTCCACACGGCTATAGTTTCCGCGGCGATGAACGTCGTCGGTAAGTGTCTCCTGTCCTCCCCTGTGCTTTTATACTCGTGCACACGTTAATAACTTAGGACGCCGCGTCGTCGACTACGTAAAAAACACGTTAGAGCGTTATTACCACAGCGGGACAATTTAAACGTGCCTCGTCCACCTTTACGGCCCGACCGTCCCGTGATATCGAGTTTTTGATAAGGGGAAGTAATAATAAGCGCGGCTATTTAAATCACATTCTCGTCGTCAATAAAACTTTTACCGTAATTTACCGTAAGATCGACGAATCGAAGCGTTTCGCGAGAAAAAGAGGAAGAGAAGAGGAGGGGGGGAGGGGGAAAAAGAAAAACGAGGAGAGATGCCTACGCTTTGCGAGCGACGCCTTTCGCAATTTACAGGGGTTGCGCGTCGAGTAATACATTTTAACAACGTAAACTGCATGTCGCTATTTTCGAGGTTCCTTCATTAAAAGCGTAGCATCCGATGAATTCCGCGCCGACGACATTTCGCCGGGACTTCCTTTTCACAAATACACCGTAATCTATTCTGATATTACGTTATACGAACGTACTTCCACCTCCGGAGAGAATTAAATGTCTTTTTTAATTACTTGCGTCTCGCGCGCGCGTGTCACAACCAGCCGCGGCTCGCGAATGCGAGGAGCGAGAAATTATAGGTACAAATATCTACGCGCACTCGAGCTCGCGGGAGAGTTTCGGAGATGCGACACAAATCTTCCACAAGGACGGGACTATTCAATTCTCACGTTAAAGAGAGCGAGAGAGAGAGAGAGAGAGAGAGAGAGCGGCGACATTTTTATCCGCTGCGTTCTCGCCCTCTCGTCGTAAAGGCGCGACAAAGCGCACGAATTTACGTCCACCGTAAAAAAAAGTGAAAAAGTAATATTTCCCGCGAGGGCTGGCGACGACACGTGTGCAGGTGCCTGTAACGAGTCGCCGCGCGCGTGTGCGTAATACTTGACGACGCGTCAAGTGATAGCGAAATGGCCCGGGCACGCGAGCGCGAATCGCTCCGTCTATCGTAAGAGAAGAATTTTTCGTACGAGAGGACGAGAGTGCAGCGTGGGGGCGAAAACGACGACCGTTTCGTATCGACCAACCGTCATCGCCGCCGCCGAAAGTTTCGACTGCGTCTGGGCTTTGGGGAACGACGACGGGTCCGGTCAAGCCCGGTCAAAGCGACAACGTCTCGACTGCACGCAAGCTCGTGCGATGCTTGATCGCGTGCGTACGTACAGGGTGGCCCGAAAGAATCATATACTTTGTATTCTTTGTCTAACGGCATCCTGTTCCATTATGAAGAAAAACCTAACTGAGGGTTTTCTTATCGTTAACTTTAATCTCCCGCAAAATGGGCTTTACTCCAGTTTGATACATGCAATTTGAGTATTTATCGCAAATAACGTATTAATGCGCGATAAATGGAGGATTTGCCGAAAAGTGATGATATAGTTTCCCTTTTGATATTTTCGCCGAGAGAAAATCTGCTTTCGACACCACGAAGTGTAGTATACGTATGCATGGAGGGTGGTCTCTCACTGAGGCCGCGAGGGCTGAGGTGGCTAGATCTGGAGCACTCTATATATGCGGAGTATATATTGCCTTCGCAGAATTGCCCTCTGAGATGCCGTCGATACAGGGACTAAAGAGGAAATACCGCGTCGACGATCCGCTACGTTTGAACTGCACATCCGGCCGGAGCAAACCCGCTGCGAATCTCACTTGGTATATCAACGATCGACAGGTATGCTCTAACTGCTAATGATAGTAATGCGCGCGCGGTTAGACGAGAGGATAGACGGACGGAAAGGAACGGGAGAGGAGGATCAGATACCTCTATTTAGTTTACCTCGGCTTTGATCCATTATCCCTGATCAAACGTCAGAGACAAGAGAGCTTATGGGATACGTTCCTCCTCGAGATGTTCCGAAGTTGGAAAGGGAGTAGCATTCGCGGTGCGGAAAATAATTTAACAATCTGATCCTTGATTAGCGTACAATATTAACATAAATATCTCTTAATTAAGGCTTGATTGAGAACGACGTTCGAGCATTTTTTAATCTTTTGGGATAACTATATACCTATGTAATTAAATCTGTTTCGAAGTAATTATTTAAGTAATTATATCTGCTAAATCTGCCCACATTTTAATAAATATTCATAAATTAAACGATAAAATGCTAAAAACTCTCTCGATAGTAATTTTAAAGTTATATTTTTACAAAACGTCATTTGCAATGCTCGAAATAGCTTCCTTAATCACCTTACGTCAACACACATCTACGTAAATTATTTCGTGTGCTAGGCATGAACGCACGATCGTCGTACGAAAATTGAAATCGCCGTGCTACCGAGAATTTATATAACAGCAACATTAACGACGTATGAAGCACAGCGCAAATATTATGTATATATCATTTCATCTTTATACCGCACAATATCAGTATTTATTTTATCTCTTAATAGCCTATTATTATACTATCGTCAACTCATCACGACCATCAAATAATGAAACTTAATTAACTTTCTAAAATATTAAATATATTCGGGATTATTTACTACACCAGAATATACGTATGGCTCTGATGTGCATATTATGATTATCTATAAATAAATAATCTTTTAACATTATCCATATTATTTTATGCTATATACGCTTATATCTCTGTAGTAACGCGGGTCTACATATTTAGAGAAGTTTCGTGTAATCTCGTTGACTAATTTATGTCCTTTCTGTGTGCTTCTTCTCCCCTCAGCCTCTCAAACCGCACGTTCGCACGTACAGCCCGCTCGACACGAACGAATCGGAGTGGCAGATTTCGCAAATCGGGCTCCAGTTCCTGGTTACGCACGAGCACTTCGTGAGCGGCAAGCTGAAGATACGTTGCAGCGCGTCGATATACGACATTTACTGGCAGAGCACCGAAGTCAGCGCCGAGGAGGATCTGCCGCGGGTGATACACTACGAGCCTGCCGCGACTATGGTCGGCACCAACTACCTCCAGCCACCGCCAAATTTTCAGACCGGCCAGAAGAAGCCCGACGGGCAGGTTGGAGTAAAAGGTAAAGTTTCTCTCCGCTTCTCCGCGCCGCAATGTGCGCTTGCATTACGTAGTAATCGGATGCCCTAAGGGGCACTTAAATCATAGCTCCATGATAGTAAAGCATTAATTTGCGAATAAAAATAACGAATAAATTGTAAATCATAAAACGTTAAATATTGAGAGAGCGCGTAAGAATTTACAATATATGTATATATATGTGTATTGTATAACTTTACATATTACAATTTATGTTTATTTCAATTCATGTGAGGTAGGCATGCCGCATTCTAAACCTCACTTTCAAAAATTTAATCAAATTACTGACGTTGAGTTTTTGTTTCTTACATATTTTGCCTTGCATTTTTGTTCTGTTTTCATCTAAGTAATTGTACGTATTTTTAAAAATACGAGAAATTATTTGTTTTAACTTCATCCAGAGGGTGAAGCATAACATACACATACATACACATACGTGAGCGTGGCGCAGTCTCATTATTTCAACAAGGAGACCGTCCTCGCTCATCCATCGGTTCTCGATTATTTATCGAAATTCAAGACACCTCGCGGGAACCCGAACGTGAACCGGCTGCGCGGGTTCATTTGCTTAGAGAGTGTTCTATTTTTTTTTCGAGCTTGAACAACATCCGGCGGGCACGACGAGCTCTTTGAGCTCCTTAGCGTTCGCTTTGAAACACAGCCGGGGCATTCAGAAAGCCATGCCGTTGAGCCGCGATCTGAATTCCTCTCCGCTCTCGCGCGACTTAATCCCTCGAGAAAGTAAAACAAGAACAAAAAAAAAAAAGAATGGGAGATCGTATTATCAGAGCGTCTCGTTCGATAATTTTTTCAGTGCTGGGGTCCTCCACGGTGAGCCTGCGGCCGTCGGCGAGGATCGTTTTGGAATTGTTTGCGCTTCTTCTAATCGTCATTCGTTAAAGACATATAGTACATCGCTCGAGAAACGCGCTTTGGAACACTTTGCGTACGTCGACGTATTTGTAAGAGGAGGAGAAGGAGGAGGGGGCAAAGGAGGAGGAGGAGAAGGATAAGGAGGAGGCGGCGATGGAGGGCTCGAGAGGCGCTTTGTGCGATGATGACGTTTCCTCTATGGGATCGCCTCGGATCACCACGCAGCAGCAATATACAACCGGAGCGAATACAGGGAGCTCCTTGGGTCACGTCACGGCGATGAAACCTGAAAGGCTTGTTCGCGAATGGCGGAGGAATGGAAGTGACGGGACGCACGACCGAGAGTTCGATCGACACACAGGCTTCGGACGACACCGAAAAAAAATCGTGGACGGAGGGCGGACTCTCCCGGCGTGACGATTTATCCGACGTTCACTCATCCGACGATCAACGAATGTCCAAAAAGCACTACAGCGACGACAGACACGGATATATATATATATATATATATATATAATAGATATATCTTATATATATATATATATATTCGGCAGTTATTTTATTATTATTAGACCATGTACTCTTCTTGCTTCCTTCCAGCGGGAATAATGTGTTTGCAATGTGTAGGTGTACGTATACATACATATAGTACGTTTCGTCGCATCGTACGAGAAGATAGTTTTTTTTTCGTACTTTTATAACTCAGAAGGAGACTATAACGTAGCATGAATGTACGTGCGTATTCCTCGACAGCGTAAAAACGCATATACACGTAATACAAACATACACGGTACACAAATGCATATGTACACGACAAATATGAGTATGTAAAATCGCTCGATTATATACACACATGTATACACACATTCATACACTCACACAGTCTCTCATACACACACTCACACATACACACATACACAAACATATTCCTACAGATACACTCTCACACATACACACACGCATACACTGTCAGATTTTTTCTCTGTACGAATAACTGATAAGTAAAAGTGTTCGAGAAAAATATATATTGCGGCCCGCCTAAGTATTTTACAGTGTGCGAGATGATGTACCTGAATCGGATATTTGCGCGAACTTCTTTTTTGTGTTGCTATTTAGGGACTATGTATTATATATATGATAAGCGAGAAAAAGATGTGCTATGTATATCGAGTTATGTGGTAACGACACAACTTTGTGTATCTCGATCATTCCATTTTCGTATTAAAGCGTAATTAATTTATTGACGAGGCTGATTTAATTGATGTACAGTACGACTTATGGAGTTTATTATAAATTCATTAAGTATATTGTCACTGTGTTTCCTTCTGTGTGCAACCTCTATTTCTTACATTTCGCCGCAATTCATATCGCAGCTCTAATACCTTTCTACAATCATGCAAATAGAATCTACTGTCTGCGCGTAGGTATGTCATTCATCAAATATCGGCTTGATAACATCATAAATTATATTGCGCGCAGTTTGCGCTTATCGATTTTCGATATCGTTCATTTTCATCCTAAATGAATTCCCGATGAATGTTTCAATGTTTCTGCAAAAATCTCGCGTTCAAACTAAATATGTCAAATAGTAAATGATACAACAATAAGACGTAAGAATAGAATTTCTGAAAAAAATATTGAATACAGTAGGTTCTCCAATTTTCTTTGTTTCACGTTACAGAGATAAATATATAATATTGTTTGATTTCTCGAGCGGGACTACACATGTATATATGCATATTTATATTATGTTAATATTGATATTAATAGAAATCATTGATATAAAAACACATCATATTAATAATTATAACAATAATAAGCACAACAATGTCAGTGCTTAAAAAAATTATTCATGTTAAAAAAAAATTTCATTGTATACTTGTTTTTATGCGTTGCATCAACGGTTTTATTGAAAACAATTTTGTTTTCTATGCTAGAACAAATATCTCTATCCATTTTAAACAATCCCGATTGTTATTAAAATAATGCCGTCGTCCTAAATAATGCACGAGTGTAAAGAAGAAGGCCGGTCGTCGGCTACCGGTGAAAACGCCTGATTCCCGTGTACATTAAATAAAATATCATTCGACAAAAGCGCGCGTTAATTCGCTTGGCGAATCGAGGAGCGCCGCTTTGCGGATTATTATATTTATTTATGCATGACCGCCGTGTGTGTACGCCGTTAATGTGATAACTCAATTATTGCGCGCCGTAATGTTTACCCTGTGCCGTTATGCGAAATACATAACCACACGGGTATTTTTGATATTTGTACACAGCGTATGTAATTGTGTGCCAAGGGAATTGAGTTGAGTATCCTAAAATACCAAGTTTGTTGACATCTCGTTATCCTTCTTCTTCTTCTTCTTTTACGAATCTCTCGGCCGTAATTATTCTATATTTATATCTTAATAATTTTTAACTATATTGATTTTTTAATTAATTTGCATTTTTTGAGTCTCGCATTATCTTTTGGGATGTGATAAACTTCGACGGTTAAATTAATATTTACATAATAATATTTTGACATTACAATTTCTCAGAAAAAAACATTAAAAATTATTTAAGAAGTCATCTTTTAACAAAATTTCACATTACGCAAATCTAATCGAGATATTTATGATGAAATAGCTCCGAAAGTTTCCGATATTCTTCTCTTTTATCACATAAGAAGCTCAATGAATAGTTGAAGTGTAGAAGGTGACAGTAACAATCCGTAAATGTGATTATTCATCATAGTGTTTCTTCTTGTAAGTGTAGGAGAATTGTAGTTTTCCAAGAGGTTATGCAGGGAATGCAATATTCGATTATAAAAAGATTGGACTCTGCATTTAGCAACTTTCAAAAAAATTTTTAAATGTTTCTCATAGTTACATATTTTCTGTCACTTCAGTTGAATAAATTTAAAAAAGTTAGATCTAAGGAATAGTGACATGCGAAAAATTCAGTACTAAAAAGCAGTCTGCAAAGTAAACAATCTTACGTTGATAAAAGTGTATGTTTATAGCTGTATACATCCTAATAGGTAAAAAAAAACGCACCGTTTGACACTAACGAACGCACGCATTGATCGAAATCCACCTGTAATATCTTCTCTCCCTTTAGATTCTCGATGCTATACACGAAAGTAACCGCTTTATTTACAACAATGGGGATATTGTAAATATATTTATTATTTACTACACCGATACACAAGAGATCCTCGATATCTATCGCCTGGGGAAAATTATGTGGAAGTACCGCCTCGTTTCCGAACCTTGGATATGGTCCACGAGGCTAAGGGGCGGCTGGCAATCGATGGCGCCAGACCGTTGGTGTGTGGGCATACGTCAGGCGCTCACGGATATATCGGGAACGAACGAGATACTGCAGCCCAGTACGCGAGTACTCGCACACGAACGAACGTTCTCGTTGCTTGGCGACGGGAAATCGGAGCGGCGTTACGTCGTCGGGGATTCGAGAAAGGATGAGGATCGCCCGTACAGTCGAACTAGTCGAAGGGCGATCCTTCCCTCGGGGTGGCGAGCGGAAAAATTCGACGTCGCGGGTATTTCACGCGAGTCGAGTGCCACGTGAGAATTCGCGAAAATCCCTTCGACGTCGACGCGGCCGCACTCTCTCGTGCGCGAGTTTAACCCTTACGTAAACGTTACCGCGGACTCGCGAAATAATCCGACGAAAACTCGCGCTGACCGATCGCTATATAGACGCTCGATTGGCACGAAGGTTGATTTTCCACGGATGTTCGTTCCTGGCCGACATCGTCGACCGCCCTATTCGGTAATATTCGACAGTGGCATCAATGCGACCGAACGCAAATACGCAATTTGCGCCTCGCCGTTCCGTATATCGCGACCATATATTGCTCTGATCCCTACAGAGATGTAAAACGATGCGCGCCGAGATGAATTCCAACAACCGGCAATCTTAATGCAGACGCATTAACGCGGATAATGTATTCCGTATCCGATCTTCCGAGGGAAATTGCTTTCCGCGGGCTCGTCGTCGCTCCTGCGAGTGGGTGCCGGGTGTGAATGTGGTGCGTGCGTGGCATACACGCGCCAGTCCCCGCCGCGAATCATATAACCGCGTCGCGGAATTACTCTTTGCTCTGTATTTCCACTTTGACCTTTGACTCGACCCGGTGGGTTAATACGCGCCGTCATCGCGGGGAAATCGGGACCTCGGTATTTTGTATAAGAGGTACGCGACACACGGCGACAGATCTGGAGTACCGCGACTGATGAGAACATCGATCGTTGAGCGCCGAACGTAGAGACGTCACGAGATCTTTGGCGCCGGACCAACGAAAGCGCGAAATATAGCTCGCCGTCGTCATAGAAAATTTTCGCGAAACTCGTTGGACCTCTGCCCGGAGAGAGATCCGCCATGGAGGGCTGTGACTGTAACTGTGACTGTGGTAACTGTGACTGTAACTGTGACTGTGGTGACTGTGACTGTAACTGTGACTCATGTGACTGCAACTGCAGTGAGTTAGTGTTCAACGGTGAGTCCCGAAGATGCATGCCGCCTGCGTACGCATCTGCCGTTCTCCTCCCTCGAGGCTTTCTCAGCAAATTTGCAAGACGTATCTCCGCCAAGCAATTGGACAATATTAATAAATTCGCATAGAGCTCGCTAATTTCTATGCACGGCAAAACGCTGCGCTAGATGCATTATTCAACATTTATTTTCAGAAACCGCAATCTTCTCCGACATTCTACACAGTAACTGTATTTCTTAAGAAAAAAAAAAAAACCAGAAATCTCTAAATTTTTAATGAATTGCTCATGAAACAAGGCAATTTCGCTTGTTCTCCAACAAACTAACGAAAATTACAATTTGCGAATATTTTCATGAAAATATCACGATGAAAATAAAATATATGAAAAAAAATTCGATACCAATTTGTTTCTTAATAGTGTAGCGTGACATAGAAACGTTAGACGATCGAATGTGTGTTGAAGGCACCTGTATACTTACATGCCTCTCGTCACATTTACGCTTTTACTCTCGCATGCGCCGAGAAAAACTAGCC